AAGGTACCTTCTCAACCCGCCAAAGCTCATTACCCTTGTAAAGGACTAAAGCAACCGGGATATAAGACGAAGTCAGTGCAAGCACCTGATGGGCCCAGGAGGCTGGTGACTCCTCTGACAATGCAGCTTTCATTTAGAGCTTCACAGCAGCTATCCATGGTGGTGCACCTATGCTGGGGAATGAATTTAGCACCATGGCTAGCTCCCATGAAGCTCAAAATAGAACCTGCACTGGGTGAGAAGCCCCACAGAGGCAGAAATCAGCAGCCTGGGCTGGCTGGGCAGCCTTGCAGGGCCCATGGCTATATGAAGAGGTCTCCAAACCAAGCCCCATGCCCAGAAAACCCCCAATTCATCCCTCTCTGCCGCTCTCCTGGTGCTTCGGGAATCAGCAGGAAGGTTGGTTAAAGATCGCAGAAGTGGTGCTAGCGGCATGATCTCCCTGGGAAAGGAAACACCAGATATCAGCAACCGGCTGCATAGAGTACCATGATGCACTTGAGCAAATTGGCAATGCCCTGCTGTCTTGGGTGTGTGTTTGTGGTGGGGAGCGCAGAGTGTCGAGGAGCTGAGAATATTTAATCAGCCTATTTTTGTAGCACTCTAATTCCTCTGGCAATAATGCCCAGATATGCTTTTGTTATATTGAAACACGCTGCCCTTGATTTCTCAAATGTGCACATTTGTGTGTATGAGAGCGTTGTGTTCTCACAGATATATATATATATTTCAGCTCTCTCCTGAAACGTATCCCAGGGGGTTATTTTGCAAACAAGTTCAGACTCGCTTTTTCTTTTTTTAATGGCTTGGCTTTGGGGAGATTTTCCTGCACTCCACTGGAAGTGCTGGATTGTTTAAGAAAACTCCCCCTTGCTCTCAACTGCCCTCATCGCATTGGCCGCATGGTACGCACTGAAAGGTGGTGATGGCAACCATGCCCTCGTGCCGGCGCAACGTTCGCTCATTCGCTGCATCGCCCTTGGCTAGCTCGAGCTTCTCACGCACCTGATTCATGGAGGACGCAGCCGCCACGTGGAACCGGGCTGCCGAAAAGTGTTTTAAAGGTGAGCGTTTGGCCCGACTGAAGTATGTTTTGTGCTCATTCTCTTCCTAAGTTTTGGAAATAATTGGGAGGCAAGATGCTTGCAAATGACAAGCAATTCTAGGGATTCAATGTATGGAATGGAATGTCTCTCCCAACCAACATCTGCTGGGGCTTCATGATCAGCCTCTGGGGCTTGCCCCTGACCCCCACCTCGGAGGGAAGCTCAATTGGTGGGCGACAAGGAGAAGGGGCTTTTCAGTGGTAGCCCTTCAGTTACGGAACAAGCTCCCCACTGATGCCTGCCTGAAGTCAGCCTTACCATCTTTCCAGTATTTTAGTCAAGAACTTCCTCTCCTGCAGGACATTTAGTCAGTTGGGGCTTCGTTAGATGTTTAATCAGGTTCAGTCATGTTTTATCTTGCTTATTAGAATTGTAGATGCATTTTAAATGTGGTTTTAAATTTTTTGTATGGCAATTTCCCCCAATGTTTTTATAAAGTGATGCACTCTGGATTGTATTTTAATGGATTGTTGTAAACTGCCTGGAGTTCTTTGGCTGTTGGGCAATATAGACTTTAAAAAACAACTAATTAAATAAATAAATTTGACCAGAGCAGCTGCTAGGCATTTAAATGCTTTGGTGTCTGAGACTATACACTTCACCGCCATGTGTGTGTGGGGGAAGGTGGGGGGCTGGGAGTGGTTTTGGGGGCCATACATGCAGAGAGGGGAGGGTCAGCCCCTCTCTCCCCAATTGCAGCCTGCCCCAATTATACTTAGAAAACCACCCCCTCATATTTGCATCACTGAAAGTACTTTTTTCTAAGACTTATTAGAAAGCTCTCTGAGTGGTTCACAACATTGAAGTCCCCCATCCTGATTCCAACCAGGCCTGACCCTGCTTAGCTTCCAAGATGAGGCGTGATCTGGCCCTTCAGGCTACATGGAAGCTGCATGGAAGCTAATTCAGGCTACATGGAAGCCAATTAATTGCTGTGGACTTTAATTAATTCAAACGTGGGGAGTAAGGTTTTAGTATATGTGGTGGGGACATTTAACCTTTCCCTACAGCCATTAGCCTTGAAAATCATCTCCTGGATAGCAGATAAGCTGAGAAAGAAGAAAAACTCCCTTTCATCGGCAGGAATAGACACTCAGGGGAAATAAAGCCAGCCCTTGAAAAATACAGTTGGGCTTGGACCCCATGAACACAGGCTGAGCAACACCCTTGCATACAGCCTCCAAGATGGAAAGGAACTGGTCCGGAGTGGGCAGAGAGTTGTGGCTGGCAGCCATTCTTGTCTCCTCTCTGAAGCGCGCACTGGTGAGGGTGGGGCCAATGGGATCTTGCACCCCCCTCCTTCTCCCACCTTATACTTAGGAGAATCAACACACCAGATGCTCTTTCTCTTCCTCACTAAATCCCTTCTCAGAGAGAGAGAAAAGTGGCATAAAGCAACCAATCCAATTTCCTTCACTGAAGAACCTCCCATTCCAGCCCTGCTTGTTCTTTCCGAAGATCTCAGGGACTCTGCCGAGCTGCAATTAACAGATACCTCAGCAGGGCAAAGAAAAACTCCCCACAGTGTGAGATGTTGCGTGCATGAGTGTGTGTTAAGAAGATGCAAATATATTCGCAGTGAAAGCAGTGTCAGCAAAGGACAGCATGGAGGGGGCAAGTTCCCTGATCTTTTTTCCAGTGCTAAATTCTCTCTCCCTCGCCCTCCCCGCCCCCTCTGACACACACTCACACACCCCTTGCTGTTTTGCAAGGACCACTGTGTCAGGGGTAGAGGAAATACTGCAGTGTCTGCAATCTATCCATGTCAACCATTTGTGGTCTGGCCAAGTTGATTCTTCTAATTCCTGGGCAACCAATCCAGGATCACTGAGAGAAGAACCTCATATCCTGGGCCAAACTATGTGTCCCTCTGGCCCACAATTGTGTATTCCGGGCCATATTTATCCATGTAGGACAATATTCCCCTCCTGCCTTCCCCTGTCCTGCAGATGCATCAGACTACAATTCCCATCATTGCTAGCCACCTGGGCTACTGGCTACAGTATTTTAAATTTTGTATAATTCTGTGGCAAGCCAACTTGAGTTTTTGTGTGCAGGCCTGTTTTAAGATCTAAGGGTGCGATCCTATGCATGCTTTGGCAGAAAGAAGTCCAACAATTCCCAACATTCTCCAGCCAACATACCGCTTTTCCGTATAAACACACATTGGGTTGTACCATAGGAGGTCTAAATGCATCATCAACAGGTTGGGTAAGGCTGGCCTGCACTGCGCATGACAGCAGCTTTCCAGGATCTCAAGAGGAGGTTTTTCCAAAACCTGGGGTCTCCAGCATGCAGCGCCTCCGTTCTGCCCGTTCACTTAGGCCTGACTTGCACTGGCACGCCTGCCGGGTTTTACTTCCCTCATGGCTGCATGAATGGATTTAATGGAAAGGCATTTGGAAGAATGCATGGAAGCCGTCCTTGTGGGAGGACACCTACACTGCTCATTTGAACGGCCCTCAAGGGAAGCGTGTCTGCAGGCCAGCCCCAAGCTCCAACCCCAGAGAAACCTCCAAAGAAATCTCCACCCGCAAAGAAGCCTCCAGAGATCCCGGGAGCCCATTCTAGCAGAATCCGAGGTGGTGGTGGAGGACTGCAAGACTGTGTCACGCTATTACTGAACCAGCCCCACATGGTGGCCAATTGTTTGCTAGGCTCAGTTCCAGATGTTGGTTCTAGATTAACCTTTAAAGCTCTGGATGGCTCAGGGCAGCCTTCCCTATCCTGGTGCCTTCCAGCTACTCAAGACACCAACTCCTATCAGCCCCTTTGGTGTGGGGATTGGACAGGTGGGCGTGGGGGTGCCTTCAAGGGTCTGGAGAGGTACCCGGGCAGACAGTGGTTTCGGCAGCAGGCAGGCAAGGGGCGTGGGGGCTTTGCTTCAGCAGAGGAAGGCAGGCGAGTGGTCTGGGCAAAACTCTTTGGCAGTGGCAGTTCAGCCAATAAACCCTTTTTATTTTCCAGACATTTCAATAGATAACATTTGTTTTGTGTTTTTGCTGCTGCTATGCCGTAGATTTTGTTATAGGTGCTATGGGGTTGTTTTTTGTTGTATTGGTTTCATATTGACTATTATTTATTTGAAAGCTGTTAGCATTGCGCTTTCTGAGCGGCTATTACAGTATCAGTGGTGACTATTCATTGTTTTTTTGTCTTTTACATTTTGCAAACCACCCAGAGGGCCCAATGGGTGAGGTTTAGGGGCATTCTCTCAAATGCCAGTGTGGCTGTCCCCAAGCTGGGACCCTACAGAATTATTTGCATGACAAGTCCCAGCATTCCTGGCTCTTGGTCAAGCTGGTTGGGGAAGATGGGATTTCTGGAGTTGGGGAGAGCTCTGCAATGGCTCACTCTGACCCACCCGAGTCCTCAGGAGGCCAAGCTGAAATAAGCAGCGGCTGCCCTCTCCCATTTTCCCTCCTCCAGCAAGAGGGATACAAAAGAGAGCGCGAACAGGTTGGATGAAGAAAAACGAGAGACAGAAGGAACGAGGGGGGAGCTGGCGGGGGTGGCAGTGATGGACTTGTGTTTGTGGAACAGGCTGTACAGAGAGGGGGCGTATGCTGGTAAAGCCGGGAACAGAGGAAGGAAAGTTGGCGCCTGGATAAGTGAGAAAGCAGGAGTCCACAGACTGAAAGGGAATGAAGGGAAGGTTGGCCAGAGAGCTCCATCCATGGCTCAGTGGTAGAACACGGGCTTTACGTCCAGGTTACTGGTTCAACAGCTGAAACACCCTTTCCTGAACCATTGCTCATGTCCAGCAGTGTATGCTTCCCAAAATGCGGACGTCTGCATTGGCAAGTGTGCATTTTCCTTCAAAAATTTGTGTTGTCACGCTTGAGACTTGGAGACATGAGCACTTTTGCTTGCTGAAAAATGAACAGATAACAATCAGAAAAAAAAAGTTTATTTTGTTTGGGCCCATCGAACGAGGTGGAATAAGCTTCAAGGAAGAAAGCAGACAATCTTAATATGCTCAAACATGGCATGTTCAACCATCGATACTTATTTTGAAATACTTATTTAGGATTTCAGAATGTTATTGTTTTTTATTATACTGAAATAAAGAAGAATGCAACAAGAAACATGAATGGCTACATCACATATCAGAATCACGAAGATACTATAACTGACACTGAAAGTACAGTCAAACCAGGGAGAGTTTCAACATGAAGTGGTACAGTCCTGCCTAAGGGGGTAGACTGGTAATGTATCACGTTAGACCCAGGCAGGGATCCCACTTTTGAAGGCTGCTTTCTGCTGCGCTCGTTTTCAACCTGCAGGAAGCTCTTTAGGCAGGGAAGCGTTCCACACATGGGGTCCCGCACCCTCGTCTTCCCCCTTAGGAAACAACCACCTCCCCGTTGCATTCTGCTGCGAGGCGAGCTGGGCACAAGAGGTTCCCTTGGGAAAGGCCCTCCGTTGTCACTGCTCTGGCAGAGAGGTGGGGGCAGGCTCCCCACGGAAGAAAACGACAGGCAGAGGGAGACTGCAAGAGCGAGGGGGGATTGGAAAGGGAGAGGCAAAGAACGACCGCTGCTGTGAATGGATGGGAAGCTCGGAAAACAAGTCGTGGGAGGAGAGGTGGAAGCTGGTTCTGGATGTCGCCCAATGTATAATGTACTGTGTACATTTAGGTGCAGAGCGTGTGCGTGCGAGGAGCTGCTACACTCCACCGAGTCCCCACAAATCCAGCACTGTTCTGTTGACAGGCAGCCCAGCCCCGGCCTTCCTCGGATCTCCACGCCTGCTCCGGCCGCATCCTCCCTGGAGCTGCTACCCAGGCAGGTGCTCAGCAGGGCCCCAGCCTACAGGACGGACATTCTCCCAGAGGGTCTTCTTGGCTCTCAGGGCAACTGCAGCGGGTGCTGGATGGGCATCAGCACAGTCAGGATCTGCAGGGCAGGAAGAGAAGAAGTGGGGCAGGTTTCAGGCTGGACCGCCCCTCCCATTACTGCTGGTGCGACCCACCGGAAAGGGAAGTTAGTGCGAATTCTGCAGAAGCCGGCCAGGCCCAGCCATACAGCGAGCAAAAACGGCTGGGTCGTTACTGGTGGCCAGCAATGTGCACACCACTCTCGCATGAATTACAGGTCGATCGCAGAATTAGGAATGCCTAAGTGCAGAATGTTTTTATGCTCCAAGCAGAAAGTGTACTTTTTTGATGAAGACCAGGGAAATCTGGGGGAAGCTACGCAGTATAGTGGTTAGGACAACTTCCCTTCACCTCCCACCCTACAGCTTCATCATCACCATCACCACCACCACCACCACCACCACCACCATCTTGCATTTATATTCCACCTTTTTTCTTTTTGTGAGAACCCCAAGCTGGCTTGCATAGCTCCATTTTATCCTCAAAACAACCCTGCGAGGTAGGCTAGGCTGCAAGGCCAGACCAAAATCACCTAGTGAGCTTCATGACCAGGTGGGGCCTAGAAGTTGGCTCCCCCAGATCCCCAGTTCAGCACTTCAGTCACCACACCCCTTGGGCTCTGGACGCAGCTAACCACCAGTGAGTCAGCCACGCCTGGGGTCATGGGAGTTGTAGTCTAACCTATGGGGGCACCAGGCTTGGGGAAGGTGAGTTCAAGAAGTCAGACAAGAACCAAGGGGAGCCAGGTTCAACTCCCAGGTGGCCAGCTGCCACCTCTTACCCAACCTACCGGCTCCATCTCCTGGGAGAATATGACAATAATCTGGAAAATCCCAAAGTGGCAATGAGAGAAGGAAGATTCAGGAGACTGGAAAATGTGAATCCAGTCAGCAAGGGCTTCCAGTTAGGACCACGGTTCCCTGCACAGCCACACACTGCAGCTGCCAGGTGGGCAGCCCCCGCTCTCCACAGTCATCAGTCTGTTGCTGCCCAGAGTCTGTCACGGAGGTTCACCTTTCCTCTCTGGCAGGGGGTGCTCTGCTCTGTCTGCCTCTGCTCTTCACCACCGTTGATCTATCCATAATATTTCTATACCGCTTAATACATTAGAACCCTCATGGGCACAGTGCTTAAAAGTGTGGGACTGGACTCAGGAGGTCCAGGTTCTGGGCCCCCCCTCAGTCACGGAGCTCACTGGGTGACTTCGGGTCAGTCACGGACTCTCCGCCCAACCTGCCTGACAGAGCTGTTGCTGTGAGGATAACACTGAGAAGAGGAACAGGGGAATTATGTCAGCTGGGTTGAGTCTCTTGAAAGGAAACTGGCAGGATATGAATAAAAACAAACAAACCAACAAGCAAACTCCATGTGTGTTTAGACAGGAAAAAAATGCCATGACAACTTCCCTATGGGCTGACCAAGGCTGAGAGCTGTAGGATTTCTTCCTGCCTAAAGATGAATAGGAAAGAGCCCTTGGGGATATTATTATATTAAGTGGTATATAACTATTACGAATAAATCAATAGTGACAAAGAGAAGAGGCAGACGGAGCAATGCTCAGCCACTGAGGAAAAGGGAACCTGCATAATGGAATCCGCCAACAGCAGACTGAAGGCCTTGGAAAGCGACTGCTACCCGTCTGACCACAGTAATGCTGAGTCTGCAGTGAACAGCAGTCGTAACTTAGCTTACAATATTGTGCAAGTTCTCTTTGTTACTTCATTAATCTTGTCATTTCATCAAAATGCTAAGTTATGTAAACAGTGTTATAGATTTAGTGGTTTGCCTCTGAAATAGTTCTTAACTTATTTGCAGAAGAAGCCAAGAGATCAGATATGGAGCCATCTTAAACTCCATTATCCTCAGCCAGCATGGGGATGATGGGGTTTGAAAGCAGATGCATACAGAGAAGCACCATGTTGACAAAGGCTCACTCAATCACTCACTTTAGTTGCTCGGTGAAACTGGGCCTTACTTTCCTCAGGGATGATGCTGTAGGGGACGAAAATGTCCAGATGGTAAAGATTTGGCTGTCCCTGTAGCACAATTCGGTCCTCTCCCAGGTCCAGCTCAAGGGATCTTGCTGAGACCTAAGGGAAGAGTGGGGAAAACCTGCTGAGAACGTGTTCCAGCCCCACCCGGCCCTGCTGCTGGGCTGGAGTTTTAGCTTAGAACATCTCCCCGCAAACCACCAGCTTTCCAGGTTACCATTTTAGGGAGACAGATTTTCGCTAGCAGGCGCTCAGGGTGACTGAGAGATGGCTCAGCAATTATGGTGAATTCAGGAACTATGGCAGAGCTGCAGAATAAATGGGAGAAACGGAGATAAGAACCAAAGAGGAGCCCGGCTGGAGCTGAACAAAGGCCTGCTGGTCCCGCCTTCTGGGCCCACAAGGCCAAGCAGGTACCCTCAGGGGCCCACGGGCAGGGGGCGTGCAGGAGAGCACCTGCGGGCTGCTTGTCTTCCCCAGCAAGTGGCCCATGAAGGCAGGAGCCTGACAGCGAAGGCGGCATGTGGGCCACATGGTCAACAAGCCCCGAAAGCCTTGTCTATCAGCCCTGAGCGTGTCTGATCCTCTTTTTATAAATATCAGAATTGGCAGCTGACGTGAGAGCTGCAGAGGAGGAGGAACAACCCCCAGTAGCAGGAGAAATCAGGGTCTGCTAACACCCCCCCCCACAACCAGGATCTGTCTTGTCAAGCCATAAAAATGGGAGCAGGCGACTTGCTTCAGAGGAAGAGTCAGGCTAGAAAAGAGGCCTTTGGGCCTCTGACTCAAGAGAGCCTTTCTATTCTCCCCGAAGGTTGATTCTTCACCTTGCCACCCTGGGTGTGTTTTGGCAGGGGTTGCGCCTCAGCCCTCCCTCCCTGTGAACCTGAGCCCTAACCTCATCCCAGTCCTCACATACCTCTGAGAGACAGATGGCTGCAGAACGTCACTGGTCTTCTCCTTGATGTGGCTAAAAAATAAAAAAAATGCCACAATCTCTTGTTAACTTTGTTCAACAACAGCATGGGCTTGATCAGTTGAGAAACCCTCCACCGAAGATCCGCAAGGTCCCTATTGAATTTGAACCCGTGGCTGTCCGTTGTTCCATGTGAGGGCCTAGCCAGCCACTGCTAACACAGCTCTACAATGCCTACACAGTTTCAGTCAATGAGAAGTACTTCCATGCCTCAAAAGGCCAATATTCAAAACATGGTCCTCCTCTTCTCCATTTTATCCTCACAACAACCCTGTGAGGTAGGTTGGACCGAGAGTCTGTGACAGGCACAAAGTCATCCAGTGCGCCAGGATCTCCCAAGCCCCAGTCCAACACTCCTGCCACTATTCCACACAAGCTCCATTAGTTCATTCTCCTTTCCTGCTACTCGTCTCTCATAAAGGTGTCCTAAACCACTAAGATGCCAGAATTTCCATTCAGTAGCCAGTAAACTCCTGTTCCTTTAGAAGAAGGAAGAGATGTTTTCTTACTGAACCTGTTTTAGATCTCTTGGTACTCTAAAGAATAGACGGATGTGAAGAAGGCACAATTCTCAAACAAGGCTTTAAACATTCAGACACTGACTCATTCACCAAACAACGGGATTCAGATTGAAGAGATTCCCCCCAACCCCCCTCTTTCTGAAAGCACACCTGCTCTCCATTTCCTGGATGATGGGTTTGGATTTAGTGCGGATGGTCTGCTCTGATATGGAGCCCATAAACTTCCTGTTCCGCAGGATTCGCCACTCTGGAAGCAGAGATGAGGGGTGCCATTAAGTTTGGCTGCGAAGTGGAGCCAGGCCCAAAGGGACAGAAACACTGATTCCCCGTACCTTGGTTGCTGACATCCATCTTGTACTTTTCCGACAATCCTTCCAAGGCAATTGTGACAAAGAATTCCTTGAGGAATTGGTTATTCTGGATGCAGGGAGAGAAAATTAGGAGAGGTCAGGACCTCTTCTCTCATTCATGCCTCCCGACAGAAACCTGGGCACTCTCATGTCCATGGGGAATCATGCTCATGTGAAGGTTGCATCTGTAACCCTCTCTCCATCTCCCTCTCTCTGCATGAAAGAGTGAGAGTGTGCACAAGTTATATGGGTAGCTGGGTGTGTACATCAGGTGCCCAGAGACAAATCCAGTGTCCCCCAAATCCTCCAGAAGGCCAGGGCTCCTTCCCCTTTCTTCTCCAATCACCAGTCACTGAATAGTTTCCCAGCTTTTGTGCTGATTCCCCCCCCCCATTCTGAATGATGGAAGTGTCTTGGCTAAGGCTTAATTATTGGCTATAAGAACTTTAAGCCAAGTCATGCCAGGAATGATGAGTACCGGTATCGTCCAAACATGTGGAGAGCACCGGGATGGGGAAGGCTGTTCTACAGCAAGGCAGCCCCATTCACAAGCATGCAAGGCAAGTTTCAGGAACCTCCTGATTTGGAGAAACAGGGCAGTGGGGGCAGAAGAGGAGGAAGAGATCAAGGACTAGGCTGCGGGTGCACTAATAGATTCTTATCTCCACCTGCCCTCTGTTGGCAGGAGCCCCTTTGGTTCCAATATCCCCAGTCAGATCCTGAGCAGCAAATGTATCAGGCAGGGAAAAACAGGTCCCCCACCCCTTGTTTCCATAGTACAAAGGCTGCCCCTGGTAGCGGAGTGAGTTTTACTCAAGAAGACGCGCACCTCCATCTTGTTGAAAAAGCTGGTGTTGATGGTGACATCGTAGGCAGTGCAACCGTTACCGCCTGGAAGGGAAAGGAAGGTGTTTCAGGCAGATTCAGAAAATTAGGTACTTGAAGCCAGAAGGCCTATGGGGAGCCAGCAGAGCGTAGGGTTGGACTAGGACAGTGATGGCGACCCTATTAGAGACCAAGTGCCCAAACTGAAACTCCAAACCCACTTCCTTATCCCAAAGAGCCAACAGTGCAATAAAACCTGAAAACAGCCAGTCCAAGCAAACAGATCTATATCCTTGGCAGTGCACTGACTGGCTATGCGAAAACTTGGATGAGTGACGGCTAGTAAGTTGCGGCTCATGGTGTCATTGCCTGGCCCCGCTACTCCTGTCCAAGCAGGCGCATGGCCCCTATCTGTGCTGTTATCTAATGTTTGGCTGCTGGAGCAACGCTGGGGTGACTTGGCTCACATGTCGACAGAGAGGGCTCTGCGTGCCCACTATGGCATGCGTGGCATAGGTTCACCACCACTGGCCTGATCCTACCCTGGTGCACTCCCCCAATTCTACTATAGGCCTAAAATAACATTGAAAAGAGGGCAATTTTGAAAAAGCCTTCCTTGAGCAGCTTTTTCTGCACAGCTCATCATTTCTGCCCATTCTAAACACATTCCAACCATCAAAATCATGCCAGGGCACCTCGTTTTGCTAACCCTAACCCTACCCTGGTGCACACCCCTAACCCTAATATAGGGCGAAAGTTCCATTGAAAAGAGGGCGATTTTGAAGAAGCCTTCCTTGAGTGGCTTTTTCTGCACAGCTCATCATGTCTGCCCATTCTAAACACACTCCAACCATCAAAATCATGCCAGGGCACCTCGTTTTGCTAACCCTAACCCTACCCTGGTGCACACCCCTAACCCTAATACAGGACTAACGTTCCATTGAAAAGAGGGCGATTTTGAAGAAGCCTTGAGTAGCTGTCTCTGCACTGCTCATCATTTCTGCCCATTCCAAACACATTCCAACCATCAAAATTATGCCAGGGCACCTCGTTTTGCTAACCCTAACCTGGTGCACACCCCTAACCCTAATATAGGGCGAAAGTTCCCTTGAAAAGAGGGCAATTTTGAAAATGCCTTCCTTGAGTAGCTTTTTCTGCACAGCTCATCATGTCTGCCCATTCTAAACACACTCCAACCATCAAAATCATGCCAGGACACCTCCTTTTTGAACCCTAACCCAGTGATGGTGAACCTTTTAGAGACTGAGTGCCCAGACTGCAACCCAACCCCCATTTATTTATCACAAAGTGCCAACACTGCAATAAAACCTGAAAACTGAGGTTTTAGTTTAGAACATAAACAACTCCCAGCCAGTCCAAGCAAATTGGCAGTGCACTGACTGGCCATGCGAAAGCTCGGACGAGTTGTGGCTAATGAGTCACGGCTTGTGACGTCATCGCCTGGCACCACTACTCCTTTCCGAGCACACGCATGGCCCCTGTGTGCGCTGTTATCCGGTGCTGGGCTGCTGGGGCGATGCTGGGGCGCCTTGGTTCGCGTGCCGACAGAGAGGGCATTGCGTGCCCGCTGTGGCACATGTGCCATAGGTTTGCCACCACTGGACTAGGACCTGGGAAGTCCTGGTGGTCTGCACTCAGCCATGAAGTTTACTGGGTGACTTTAGGCTATTTTTGGCCTAATCCACCTCACAGGGTTGTTGTGTGGATAAATCAGAAAGGAGAAAGAGTGTTATGGAAGTCACCTTGGGTTCCTTGCAGGAAAAAGTGGGGTATAAATTAATTAACCTTGATTTTACAGTTTTTGAGCTAATATGTTCCCTCCCCAGGGAGGCGCTCAAAGCCCCAAGTGACAAATTGTATGAGTCAACTTCATAAATTTTCCTCTTCAGCCATGATGACTAGAAACTTGGTCTTTCTCATGAGGTTGCGTTCACCTGCAGATTTTCATTTTTGTGGAGCACAGGATATAGAAAGAACTGACTGGACTAAAGCAGAGGGAGGTATGTTGTGGGGTTCCCAGCAATGCACCAGGAGGCGTGACCCATGGGCTCTGGCAGCAGGACTCCTCAAGAGCACTGTTCCCTGCGCCACCAGGGTGCTCTCAGCCATAGGGACTTAGTGGCCAGCACCTCTGCAGTGCCCCCCACCTGCAATGGGCAAAGGGGGTGCTGCTACTTTTCGGCCTAGACAGACACCTGGCCTGAGGAGCCTCTGGTGGCCTGGCTGGCTCTGCAGAACCACTGCTCCAGGGGTAGAGCCTTAATCCAAACCAGGAGAGCAGCAGGTTAAATCAGGAGCCAAATTCACGGAATTCAATGCCAGATGTGGTTAAGGGCTACTAGCTTAGAAAGCCCTTGGAGGTGGGAGTATCCAAATCCTGAGTACCTGGCTTGTGATAATTCTTTGGAAGAGTTTTTGCTCATGTTGTCTACATCAATTTAGGGCCCAATCTGGTGTATGTTCAGAGAGAAGAAAAGGCCAATGGTTCTTGGCATGCTGGGAATTTTAGCCTTTTTTCTATCTCCTTATGCATAGGCTGCACCTTTTGGGAAGTGTTTATGTAGAGCAGGGCATTAAACCTCAGGCCTATGGGCTATCTTAGCCCCACTGCGGATCCCAGTCTGGCCTTCTAAAGTCGCCCCGATTGTCGTGCCCTATTTCCCTGGTCCCATCCCTTTTCTCCCAGCCCTGTTTGTAGGTGGTTTCTTTGCTTTTGTGTACCTACTCATCCTAAAATAGTTGTAAGAGCTGCGTGCTAAAATGTTGGGATTATCGGCTTCACTCTGTTCACCCACCTCTACAACATGATCGCTGAGTATGTCTCCAGTTCAACCCTCAAGAGGCAAGAGTCTCTGTGCGAAGTGGCTCATCACCCCACCAGCCCATTCACCCCCCTCCTGTGAAGTGGGCACTCACTCTTGTCCACCTCCGCATGGGGCTCCCCCAGGCTCATGGGGATCCGGAAGGTGGAGGCATTCTCTGACTCGATAAGGCAGGCCAGCTCTTCATTGGTCAGGTCGGGAGGTGGAGGGATGTGGGAGGACCTGCAGACGTTGACGAAGACCTTCTCTCCAGCAGCTGTGTGAGTTTTGAGGCAGAACCCTGGAAGCAGTGGCGGGTGAGAGACATGCGGTTGAGACTTGCCATACAGACTCTCAGGCCATACATCACTTGGTTATCCCAGTGGAAAGTTGTACAGGCGACACCAGATTTCCTGGAGATTCACATCTACAGGACATTGTCAGTAGCAGGGCAGCTAGGAATTCAGCTCAGGTGCCTCCAACCGCCTCCCGCCAATGAAAAGGATCGCTGGGAGATCAAACAAGGAAAGCTCCTTGCACCCCATAGGCCAGGATGGCCAGACAGGGCTCCTGATGTCCACAAAGAACCTCTAGGTCAGGTTATCCTAAAGCCGGGGCAGGCTGCTCGCAGGCCACAATATTTGGAGGCCCACAAGTTGCCACAACTGACTAAACTGTTCTAGAATCTGCTCTTGATGGCCGCATTTTTATGACTCTCCTACACAACGGGCAACTCTGAGCACAGCTGTAAGGCACTGGACCGCTGAATAGCTAATAGTTCCTAAGGAACTATATCAGCCAGCCTTCCTAGCCTAGCACCTTCTAGAGGCAATTGACTCCCATCTCAGACACTGGTGGTCAGGATCATGGGAGGTAGGAGTTCAGTACAGCTGAAGGTCACTCTAAAGAGTACCTCCTATACCTTGAAATTGTTCCGTGTTCCCTTGTGTTATCATTTTCCATTTCCAAAGCTGTTTACCTGGGAGTGGACGGATGGGCCTGGAATTCGCCGGAGAGGGCACCGAGCTCTGAATTTTTTGGGATGCCTGAGAGGGAAGGAGAGTGAGAGAGGGAGAGAATGGGTACATTTGCAACTCCATCCTAACCAAGTTACAACTCTGTATTGACCTGCTTAAACAGATCTAATGACTTAAGCTGCTGTAGCGTTTTAACACGTGCTTTAAATTTGGTTTTAAATGTTACATTGCAAACTTTTCATGTTTTTATTTTATATTTTTTGTGATGTAAACTGCCAAGAGAGCTCTGGCTATTGGGTGGTAAAGGAAACAGGTAAGTAAGTAAGTAAGTAAAGTCATATGCCTCCTGTTTCTTTCTACAGCTGTTTATTTCCCTGTCTAAAGATTGCTTCCTTAACGCAACTAGAGCAAGTTATTCCAAGAAGCCCATATAACCTTTTCTCCTCCCCTACATCCAGACACATTGAGCAATACTCAAAAGAGGAGGTATTCTTACTATAATACTTCCTAATCCACTTATTCAGCTGCCACCTGTGAACAGAGGGAGGAAAAATTGTGGTGCACTGCAATTCATGTCACACACTGGGTTCCCCTAGCAATAAAGAATGAGACAACACTATAAAACAGTTTAACAAAATACGTAACAATGGTTATCACAGATCAGTTTAGAAAAACTGATTCAAATCGTGTCTCCTATCAACAAAAACCCAGCATCGTATTCATGGAGAATATAACCCCATTGTATGCAATATGCCGTGTCTGCTTACCCAGTAACCAAATTTTGAATTGTTTTTATGAAAACCAATTCTTTCCCCTAAAAGAAGAACAACCCAGGTTTATAGGATCATTAAGGTTTTTTTTTTTTCCATTAGTGTGTGGTTGTTAGGTTTTATAAGGGATTTTTGGTTTTTCAGCAGCTGTATGGTATTGCAAAGACTGATCATCTCTTTGAAAATAGTCTTATGACTGTTGAAGCAATTAAAACAAGAATGGAAGAGGCTCAACCTCCATAAGGAAAATGGCTTATTTCACTGCCTCAAACTACACAGTCCCCAGGAGTTGCATGTGCTTTGTAGCAACCCTTCTGCTTTGCTCCAATCCTGCATTTTCTAGCCTGGTGGTCACCAGGAATGTTGGACTGCCACTGGCAAGCTAGGAAAGGCTGCTTCAAATCTGGCCTGACACTTCATTCCAGGGGTAGCGCCCGTCTCCAGCACAGCAGAATTTCCCTACCAGAAGACAGTGTGTTCTAAGCACACCTGAAGCAGAAGACGACGGAACTCTTCTTCATTTTCCTCTTCCTCCTCTAGCTCTGTAGATAACAGGGACTTGTCGATTACCGAAGCCATGTGGGTACTGGTGGATCCCACAGGGGCTACGGATAAAACTGAGGGTTGAATTAAAATAAAAAATAACACAAAAATACAAAATAAAAAACAAGAGCAAAAACATAAAATAAGGATGCAATCCTATGCGTATTTGGACAGAAAAGAGTCCTACAACCCCCAGTGTTTCCCAGCCACTGAGGAACTGTACCCTCAGCTACATGGCAGAAAGTCCCAGTGCGTGTGTAGGATCTTCCATTAGCTTCCGCTAATCAAAGATCCCAGACATAGGCTGCCACCCCTTCTTTTCCTGCTGGCACATCTAGATTTGGCAAAGGCAAACAAAGCCCACTTTACAGTACTTGCAGGGCCAATTGATTTATCATACGTTGTAATAAACCTGTCTGGGCCACAAGCCTCTTTGCTGCTTCAGCTTATCCAATGGATAGTACAGCAGAAAAGAACAATCACATGACACAAACTAAACCCCACAAAATCCAGTCTTTTCAGACACATGTACTGCTCCATGGGTGACTCCATAATGCATTACTGGATAGGCCCCACCCTCCCTTCTCTCACCCCCATGTGCATCTCACCCCTCTCATCCCCTATTCCACCTTCCCTTCCTCCAAGGAAATCAGGAAAACATCCAGTGTATTCCTTGTTCTATTTCATTTATTTTCCTCCCTTCCTCACAAAAAGGCTAGGAAGGCTGAGCAATCTCCCTCCTGCAACACCCAACTTCAACTTCACAACAACCCTGTGCAGTAGGCGGGCTTGAAAGAAAGCAGCTGGCCTCAGGTCACTCAGTGAGCATCACAAAACTAAGGGGTGGCATTCGAACCCAAGACCACGATAATCCCACAGCTGTTTCTATGACAACAGGGCTTTTAAGATACCTCTTTTTGCTGTTGCTTGATTCCTGTTCGTACAAGTAGAATCCAGATCCCGAAACTGCTGTCCGAACTTTTTCCAAGCACGGTTTCCTTTCTAGGAAAAATGAAACTTCCGTTGTTGCTATAATAGCAAATCCAATTAAAGGTGCAATCTTATGCATGGATAGACAGAACAAAATGGCCTACAACTCCCAGCATGCCCCAGCCAGCTGTGGTAGCATTGCAGCTGAAATAATGTTATTCCTGCACTGCAATCCTATGCATGTCTACAAAGAAGCAAGCACAATGAGAGTTCCTCGTGGGATTGTAACCAAATCGTACTATAGAAATATTAAATCCTTTAAAGAATATTGAGCCATTACAGCATATAATATAACGTTAAGACGCTTTGTCATGTTTATCTGAGGTGTCCAGCGAGTCAGACACATATTAAAAAACAGATCCTGATTTTCGCTGCCCTGATCATACAGATAACAACGGGGTGTTAAAAACAGACCCTACTTATTACAGCAAAGGAACGCAAAACAGAAAGCAACAATACTTAAGTTAACTGTTCTTCCTTGTCGCTTTAATGCCACCCTTCTTTTATGATTGAACGTGATCTATAACAAAACACCACGTTGTTCAGGGTCGTTTTTGCTTTGTTTAGGACATTACCAGTTTACTCGGTTTACGCTTGTATCGGATTTCTTGCAGGACGCCTCCCCGATCTTTCCTACAGCAGCACCCTTTGGTCCTGTTGGTTTGCAGAGAAACGAGACCGGAAGTTGAAATCTCTCAACCGCGCCGCTCCGATGACGTATCTCTATGAGCTCTGTTCTGGATAGCTAGATAATCCAGTCCGTAGAGTTAAGGAAGATTGTAGACATCGGGCATTACGCACACTTCACGCTTGTTTTGACCTTTCTGTTTGGGAATCACAGTGAGAGGTGCGTTTTCTTTCTGTATCATGTTGTCTTTAAAGGGCTGGAGATCGTTTTTCATTCTTGAAACCAGGAGTGCAGGAGGGAAGAGAAACCCTTTGGCTGGAAATCCTAAAACAAGGCAAATTGAATCGGATGTGTGCATGTGTTTATATAACTTCAGTACAGCATTTTAAAGTACCGTTTGCTTAGCAACCCTGATTGCTGTATGAAGAGGTTGCTCTGTGGTGAGCATGGGACACTGGCTTTAAGGAAAATAACCGAAAACTAGTGGCGTAGGAGCTGGAGTGGAGTACCTTGGAAGAAAGCACGGTTAGTTCATTTAACAGAAACATTCCGTACTACCACATTGTGTTGCGGTTCAGTCACATTTACTTCTGTAGCCATAATGATGGAGAAATAGCATCGAAATCATACTCAGTTTAGAAGGTGTTATTTTCCGTTCAAAATATTTGATAACTAAAATAAAGTAACGAAGCGGTCCCATTTACAATTTAGAACGGATAGTTAAAATTATATTTTGAAAGTCTACGATCTACTTTATATTTTTGTCTCTATGGTGAGGATGTGGGTGCGCGTCACCTCATGTCCATGTTGCCAAATTGACCCTTCTCTGCAGCTGCGTAGTCTCTATGGCAAAGGAAGCCGGAAGTGTCCCTATAAAAGGGAAAGTAGCTGAGTGCTCTCGAGCGGCTGCTTTCTCACTGGCAAGGAAGGGGAGAAGCAGGCAAGGGAAGTGTCTATGGCTGGCTCAGCGGCACCAGCAGGCAGCCGTGGAGCCCCTCCAGTGTACGATATCTACACCTCAGTGGAGTATGGGCCTGTCCCAGAGGGCACTGGGATAGCCCAGGTAAGGGAAACGGGCTGCAAGGGATGCCCGGAACCTGGGTCCTCCAAGGCAAGAGCGTGGGACCCAGTGGCTTTCAGAATCCTGGGAGACCGGGCATCAAAACTGGGGCTGCAAAGAGACGTGGGGAGCAGGAATGGATTGCAAACAGGAGATTTTGGGGAGGCTTCTGCAACAGCCGGGCACCAAATCCACCCTTAGCACTCCATTTTTGTTTTCCCCTCCCCTGCTTTGGCTGATGTGGCTGAGTCCCTGACCTTCGTTCCGCTGCTGAACCAGCACTCTTTACTGAACGGATTCTGATGTTTGTCATGCGTGTGGGTGCTGAAGGGCGCGCGGGAGTCCACGACCATCCAGGTTCAGAAGATCTCGCCGTTCTGTTTATGAATAACCGGCTCAGCTACTTTAACTAAACCTTCAATCACGAGTATTTAGAAGGAGAGGCGGGGGAGATTGAAGAAGTGCGAGTAAAAGTTCCGCTTTTACTAATCACTAACAATTCGCTTCCGCTCCACTGCCCTTTTGTAGTGTTGAGGAGTTCTACTGGCTCCAACTGCTCTAACTCTCATCTGCCCCTTAGCAGAGGAATCTGGAGTTAAAGCTGTCCAGGGCGTTTATACGGCTTAGAGCAGCTGTGATGTTCGGATCTGGGCGCTGCTTCCTGGAAAGAGCCGCTGCAGAGCAGACTCTGTTTTGCAGCGGACCGGAGCAAACTGCTCCGCTTGCCCATTCTTCCCACCTCTGGTGCCACATGCATGTTCTAATCCCGATTCAGTCCACTGCTGATTCACATGCTAGCTCCTTTCTACACGCAAGCCCCCGTCCAGTTCATCGCTCTGCTCCCCTTCGAATAGCTCGGACGCTCCTGCTGAGATTTAATCCGAAACTCGCAGGACGCGAACGACTTCTTGCTAAAAGATGCGGCAAAATCCAGCCTCTCTCTGAAGAAAGCAGAGCAGGTGCAGTGCAGGATTTGTGTGTGCAGCGGGGCGGGAAGAGCGACGTTTGGGGGAGCAATAGGTCAGGGAGAACCGCAACCGCTCGGACTCTTGAGTGCCCCGGGAGGTAAGAGTTCTTCCTCGCTGGGGGTAAGAGGGAGACTTTGCGGGCTATTGTGCTGGACCGAGCGGGGCTGTGCGTCCCCGCTCAGCCAGGGTCATATGCATACCACGGGCGCGCTGGCCAATGGTTGCGCAGTAAGTCCCACCTCGGGTTACGTGCTACCGCGGAGGTACCCGCCCCTCTTACTCCGCCTCGCTCGGTCTTCTGGGTTAGGGAGGGGGGAGTATCCCGGCGTGCACCGGGGTTAGTTTTCTAATTGAACAGAGGTGAGGGACCCCCCTCTTTTCCCCTCCCCCATCATCATCATCATCACCGGACCTTGCCACCCACCTACCCCCCTTTCCCGCTTCCCATCCCGGCATGTCCTCGCCTTCCCCTTCCTCCTTCTTGGGCCCGAAGACAGGGGATCGCCCGAAAGTGCCCCGGACGCGGGCGGCCACTTGGAGCCACCGGGAGACCCTGGATTTCCTCGCCTTGTGGGGGGAAGAAGGCATCCAGGCGCAGCTCAACCGGTGCCACCGGAATGCCGACGTCTACCAGTGGATCTCCGAGCGGATGGCGGAGAAGGGCTATTTCCGCGACGAGGACCAGTGTCGGACCAAAGGCAAAGACCTGAAGAAGAGTTACAAGCAAGCCAAGCTGCAAGACGGCATCGCCCGCCAGCGGTGCCGCTTTTTCCACGAACTCGACGCCATCCTTGGTGGCGGGAGCGCCGGCGGCCGTGTCGGCGGCGGCGCGGCTGCTCCTTGGTGTCAGGTGGTGATCAAAGAGGAGAGCGATCCGGAGCTCGATCCGGATCAAGAGCTGCAGGAGGACGACTACGGGTGGACCCAGGTGTCTGTCACCGACGGCAGTGATCTGGATCCGCAAGGCGAGCCTGCTGCCGCCTCTGCCGCTGCCCCCGCCTCCTCATCCTCGTCCTGCTCGCAAGCGGCCGGGGGCTTGCTTCACCCCGAAGACCCCCTCCTTCACCACCACCATCACCACCACCACGTCGCGGGTGGGATCGTCAAGGAGGAAAAAAGCCCGGTGCCGGAGGAGGGCAGCCTCCACGGGGGAGCGGGAGGGTCCTACCTCTACTCCCATGAAGATGCCCACGTGGAGACCCCCCGGAGGGAGATCATCGGCCCCAGCGCGGTAGAAGATCCGCTCCTTCGCCAAGAGACCCGGACGCATTTGGAGGCTTCTTGGAGAACTGGGCTAAACAGGAGGGGTGAGTGGAGTGGAGTGGAGTGGCACGGGGGGGGGCTTTTTTGTGGGGATGCAAAACATTTCGGCTGTAGACACCCCCTCCCCCCCTTATTAAAGAGTAATGGTTTTCAGTCCTTTCCACCCCAATCAGCGCAATCCTCTACATGCTTTCTCGGAAGTAAGCCTCATTGAGCATAGAGGGACTTACCCACAGGGAATTAGGTTTTGGACAGGAGCTTTACTCTCCTCCCCCTTCCGCAGGGACCCCTGGTTGTCCCGGCCATCAGATTCAGCTTTGCTGCTCTGACTTAACCCATTTCCATGGGTGCAGAACTGGGGAGTTCTGGCTTTCCTCTGCAAGCCATCCTGGCTTCTTTCTGCATGATCCTGATTCCTGCCACCCTCATCTTGAAGTTGCTTGACTTGGCTCTGGTTCCTGGCCTCCTCCCCTTAATCCATTGGGCCCCTTTAGAACAAGACCCAGGAATCCTATGAGACCCCTTTTACCAGGGGATGGGGGTGTGCAAGGAGCCAACAAAACCTCCATTCTGAAGAGGAGAACCCTGGAACTGCTGGGTTCTTAATAACTTAATGATATTGCATCTGAGTCCTTGGGTCCGGTGAAAAGGTGACGGGCCTTACCCAGGTATACGTGGGAGTATCCATTGCCAAAAATTTGCAGCAAATGTGGATGTGACCTATAACAAGGAGCAGTTTTGGATTCTTGTTAAATAGCTGTGCACCTCAAGGATTGTATTTAGCTTGTAGGAGCTTGGGCACCAGCTTTTTTATTTAGGAATATAATGTGGGACACCTTGTTCTTTAGAAATGGAAAGTGCATTAGTAGATTGTTGGATGGCCTGAGCAACCAAACTCTGCGTCTTGGAGAAATGTGGGAGTTAAGTCAAAGCAGATGTTTTTGTGTTCCAACTCTCATCAGCCCCAGCCAACATAGGTAATGGACAGGGTGATAGGAATCATATCTAACATTTGGAGGGCCACAAGTTCCTACCTCTTGATGAACAGAATAAGCTGCATTTTATGAAGCCACTCTCAACACCTTAGTTTAAATCTGCTAGGTTTTTTCCCTCCTCTTTTAATTATGTTCTGTAACTTGGGGTGGCCTTAGAAAATTCTCCAGTTTTAAAATATTTGCTTGCAGAATGTAAGGAAGCCAATTGCTTCTGATGCTTTAGAAGTGAGAACAGTCTTTGCTGGTTAGTATGCAAAAGCCCCCATTTTGTAGGTATATGTGGGCAAATTATTTCTAGATACCATTGGCCCAAGGGAAAGGTGGTGTATGCGGATGCAGATCTAACTCACTTCTACTCTACAGCAGCTTCCCTGCCTAGTTGTTGGGGCAAGGGGTGGACAGGAGATCAGCTTGTCAAGGAAAAATAGACATTTCTAAACCTGCTTTGATGTGATTGTCATTTGCATCTGCCCCATTGTGAGGGTAAGGATGGTTGAAGCTTATGCTGCTCCTGCATGCGTTGTTCATGAGTTGAACTGATGGCAGGGCTCTTAGATATACAGCCTGGGTGCTTTTATTCCTCCCCACCACCGTAGAGGCCTCATCATGTTAAATAGAGCCAGTTTTGAGTCAGGGCTTCACCAAAGGCACTCATCTTTGGATTCCATTCTGGAGAAGCTCTTGTGGGGTTTATTCTAACAGTGCACAGGGCTGAAGATGAAAAATGCCTGCTGATTTTAGCTGCAGGTTCTTAGCTGGCAGTGCCAAAGCCATAGGAGAAGCATTTCAGTGTTTTAAAATTGGTGGCAAACACAAAAGACTGTTTGATTGAAGAAAGGTTGGCACTCACATGAGCAACCCCTGGCCTGCTGGAATTGACCTCTGGGCCCCAAAACCCCAGTTTAAGTTTCTGTACCCCTGTTTGAGCTAAGTGTGTGATAGAAGTTTTTGTGTACCTAAAGAGCTGAAAATGATGGCTCTGGTCCCAATATCTCTGATTTTGAATAACTCTACTCCTTCCACCAGCTTTTTCTAGGCCTCGGAGCCTGTTGAGCACTCGGGAGAAATTGGCTCAGCTCCGAAACAGGAGAAAGAGACCCCGGGATGACAGATTTGACGAGCTAGTGCGGGACATCCGGGCACATTTCCGGGAGAGGGAGAAACTCTTCCAGAGCTTGTGGGAAGAAGAGAAAGCCCAGCGGGAGAAGGATAGACGGCTGTGGACAGCTGAGATGGACTGGATCCGCCAGATGTGGGCCAAGAGCCAGAAGGAGAAGGAGGCAAATGGTCCACGGCCTGTGAAGGATGAGAACTGGAACGGGGACCTTTGCAAGGATGCCAAAGGAGAGCTTCCTAAAGACACCAGCATCCAAGAGCCTCTTCTCTTAAAGGTTTCCTGTCCTAAGAGCAACGGCTGAGCCCCCAATCAACTTTCCCTAGCCTGGGTCTCTCTAGATGGGGTTTAGTCTACCTTTAGCCCCAGCCAATATGGACAATGGTCAGGAATGACGTAGATCCCAAAAATCAAGAGTGACCCACTTTGCTCCTTGATCAAAGAAACCCCCCCACCCACATTTAGCTTGATTGACTGACCAACTTTATATCTTACCTTTCTGCCAAAGAACCTACTCAGGACAGCCAAAAATAAAATACAGCCAAGTACAAAATTTAAAAAGCGAATCTTAATTAAAACAAAACATGAAAACAAATCAATTAAACACAACCAGAATATTTTTTTAAAATAAAGTATTTTATGCCACTTCTCAGCCAAAAGCCCAAATTACCTTGCACCTAATGTATTAAATAAATTTCCCTTGTGCAGACTTATAATAAATCCTAAGGCTTGAGTCATGAGGAAAGGAATGGGGATGGAAGTGTGGCGGGGGGGGGGGGGGGAGCACCAAACCAAATAAACCCTTTAGCAACAGACCAGCTTATGCTCTCCCCTGCCCCCAATCTCAAGGTTAGGGGACCTGTGGTCTTACAGTTGCTTGACTCCAATTCCCATCTAGACCATCTGAATGATCTGATGATGGGAATTTGAACCCACCCACACCTAGGGGCTCACAGTGTCCTCAGCCATATTCACCCTCTTTCTACGCTTTCTGAGAACTCAGGCCCCGTTTCGCAGGTCCCCTGTAACCAGTGTCTCAACATAAGCTGCTCTTCAAATGGTTTTAGCCTTAACCTCCTTGATTCTTAACATCTAACCTGATGCATCATTGGTTCATTTATTTTTCCTTTAAATGAGAGGAGGTGGAAACCTTTCTGATAGGTGATGGAGTTTTGCCCTCTGTATGCTATCCTGAAACAGCTTTGTAAATCACAAACAGGTGATTTGTGCCTCCAGTCTGTGGAGGTGATGGGGCTGGAAAGGCTCGGCATGTGCCCAGTGACTGGCGAAGACGCGAAATGGGATGCGTGCGCCTCCATTGTCCCCTCACAGGGCTGGAACTGCCCAGAGTTCCTTGGCTGGGTAGACAAAAATGGTCGATTCAGGTTAGCTTCCCTGCGTTTATGACCTGTGGACTGTCTAACCAGCCTTCCCCGACTGGCTGGGGAATTCTGGGAGAGGAAGAATTTCTGTGCAGAGTTCACACAGGATGGTGCTCTGTGTCTTTACCTGATTGGCTTTGTAATTGACAAAGTCTCAAAGAAGTGTGTGTGTTGATGTCAGCGAGCGAGAGACTGGGAGGAGGAGACTCCAGTCATAGCCGCAGTCACTAGCCCTTGAGTTGCTACGCAGCCCTTGGAGTAGGCCAGTTGCTTGCCATGTGCCAAAAGAATGTGACTTTATGCATCAGCCTAACAATTTCAAAGTATTCTGCCTTGGCATCTAGCCAAACTGATGCCCATGGAAACACTTGCTGCTCAGGCTTACTATTTATTAAAGTTCTTGTTATCCCACCCTTCACAATGTCTCGGGGCAGCAACACAGTGAAATATATAAATAGGGTACAGCATCACTAAACAAATCCAAGGTAAAAACATGCATTAACAGTTAAAATAAGTAAAATTAAATTACTAGAGTTGCATTCAGATAGTCACTTTTGAAAAGGGGCTGTGTTGACCTAGAAAGGTGGGGGAACTGTGTCAGAGGTGGGTGACGCCTGGCCCTTTTGGCTTATGGTTCCCACAGTCCCTCACCATTTGCAGGCCTGTCTAGGGATGATGGGAGCTGTAGACCAAAATGTCTGGAGGGCCACATGACATCCAGTCTGTTGAGGCAACCGACTGCTTGTCTGTTTTTGGCAGTCCCTCCTCAGAACTGTGTTACGTGATAGTTTAGTGACCTACACCGTCTACATGGGGAGCTGCGAGTTCTGACCCTGTTTTAAAAGGGAGTAGCTGTGGTTTAATTTAGGGGACATGTTTAAGAGAAGTAAACAACCAGATTCAATTCATGGAGTCTTAGAAGTTTCCTGCTACACTCCAGAAAGGTGGTCTTGGACTTGGAGATGCCAGGAACCACCTGCGTGCAAAGCATGGGACCCTCCCCTCTGTGGACCTCCTTGGCAAGCGGTGATCCGATTTGGCATTTGTGGGGGCAGGTTCTGTATCCCCTTTCTGTGTCATATGTGGAGCATTTACTGATCCAGATCAGGGGATTATGAATGATGTGTGCAGCTGCCATAGAGCGATTCATGCCATTGGTCCATCTGGAACTGGTTGGCCTGATTTCGGAAGCTTTCAGACCTCCAGGAAGGGCAAACTGTCCTTCATAAGCAGACCATTGGGTGGGAAGGTGGAGAGAAAGGGGAATGGGCTCTGACCTAGCTCACTGCTGGGCTTTGTCTTGCTCAGCACTGACATATGCAGCCCCACGGATTGCTCGCAGGAGAACGTGGCCCTTTGCAACGAAACAAGGGTTCTCTTCTCCTAGGAAGTCAAAAAAGGCCGCCTTGCTGTGGCTCCACCAGCCTCATCCACACCAAGAGGCATGTGGTCCTCAGGATTGGCCTCTTCCTGCCTTTCCAGGCCGTGGGAAGTTAGGAGCTCCTGGCATGTGGGAGCATTCACAGAATCAGTTCACAAATGCCAAAAGCTGCATTCATGTGTGTGGTGAGTGTGAAGGTGTTAAAGGATGACTTGGGCCTAATTCCTGTAGGTGTGAAAGTGTCTCACCTGGATCGCAGTGAGACACTTCTCACACACACCCCCACTACCCCAAGAGATTCCATTCTAAGTCTCATCAGTTGCAGCCAGCATGATTCTTGGGCAGGGATGATAGGGACTGCAGTCCAACTGTTTTCATTCCTGAAATAATTAGGCACAATTCATAGCTTAAAAAATAAACCCTGTATACAGGAGACTGGTTGCCTGCAAATGAAAGGGGTTTTAGATGATGTCCAATTGCTTGTTTCTCTTTCATTGCTTTCTTCTCTCCCTGCCTCCTATTTTTTCTGTGTTTTCAGTCGTGGCTAGAATCTCACAGCCGTAGCTTTGGGCATTTCGTTGATGGCAAGTGGCTGAAACCAGATGGCAGAGAGAAGTGGGCTACCAAGAATCCTACTACAGGTAGAGAAAGATAAGTACTGTATTCCTGAAATGAAGTTTTCTCAAGAGGTTTTCTGATTTCCAGCCCATAATTTGAAATTGGAGAGATTGTTTCTGTCTTCTCCAAAATAACAAGGACTAGATTCCTTCAAAAAAAGCTAGTTCAGGTTTTCCTGAGTACTGTTGCAGTGATCAGCTCTCTGTCCTTCCTTCCATGTTGTGGTAGTTTCACAGCTTTTGGGATTTACTCTGAATCGAACCCTGGGAGATTAAAAGAACCCTCTTCCTTTCTCCTCCATTCCTCAGGTGAGCTGCTGGCCACCACCCTTCAGGGTTCTGTAGAAGATACGAATGCAGCAGTGGACTCTGCCACAAAAGCCTTTGAAACATGGAGCAAACTCCCTGGCCATGTCCGAGCCCGGCACTTGTACAAGTATGTGGAAGTCATGAGACACCAAGCTTGCAAATGTGTGGCTGTTTGTCCAAAAGTTCTGGGGGCTTTCAGACTATCGCAGATACCTTGGAACTATGTAACGCAATGACTGGTGTTACATACTCGGGTTGTATGTGGATTCTGGGAACATGCTGGGTTCAGGCATCACACTCAAGGGTTGAGTATGGCTTGTGTGTTGATTGATGCTGGACTGTGGGTTGTTGTTAACCACGGGTTATTGTGCTGTCTGAACCCAGCTGTGTTACAGGACATGGCTTGTTAACTATGAACATCCCATGAAGAAAACCCATAATTTGTTGTTAGATTGTGACCCATGGGCTGTTCACCATGGCTTGTTATCTTGCCTGGGTTCAGATACCAAGATAGCCTATGGTTGAACGACAGCCCACATTCAACCCTTGCCTCTGGATTATCATGTTGTCTGAACTTAGTAGTGCAGGGAATCTCTGGCCCATGGCCTAATCTAGCCCATGGTGGCACTGTCTTTGGACTGAAGAACCGTTGGGTGCCTGGGTGCCTCCAGGGGCATGGCTGCATGTTGCTCTCCCTGATTGGGGCTTGAAGGAATCCCCCATGGGTCTGCTGTGTGTACAGTTGGATGTACCTCAAAGGCTGTCACAAAAAGGAAGGTCAGGATCTCTTCTCGTGATACTAGACACAGGATAATCTATTCAAGCTGCAACTACCCAGGTTCAGGCTAGATAACAGGAAAAGCTTCTTTGCTGTCAGAGCAATATGTCAGTGGAACCAGTTGCCTAGAGAGATCATGGGTTTTCTGAGATATTCAGAAAGAAACTGGACAGCCATCTGAGTGGGATTGTGTAAATTGGATTCCTGCAACAGCAGGGGGTTGGACCGGATGGCCTTCCTGGCCCTTTCCAGCTCTACTATTCTATGACTGTATGACTTAAGCCTTACCCTTCCAGTCACTTTTGCCAAATTTAGCTCCCTCTCCAACATGCAGGGGCTAAAGGAAGAGTAGGGGACCTCAACATGCACTAGTGAAGGCTTCTCCCCATTTTTAATCCACATCTGTGGGTGGGGCATGAGTTAAGGAAAATAAGCAGCTGGGAGTAGAAGTTTAAACCTCACAGAGCCACATATGTGGTAGTCCTGATCTGAACTGGGACCTTGCATACCTACTAGTAAGTAAAAAAAATAAGGGAGGCCAAGCCATATGCTATGTATTTAAGTTCTCATGTTGTTGAGTCTCCCCTGGGCTTCATATTTTAATTAGAGATAGCCTGACGTTTTATACTGACCGTGTGAACTTGGTTGAAAGATAATTCTTTCTCCTAAGGGAACTAACATTCAGGGCAGTGGCAGGGAGTGGGCCTAGCGATCCCCAGCAGAATTCTCAACAAAGGTCATTTTCCAGATTTCTTTGGGGAAGGCAATGACAATTAAGCAGGTGTCAAATCAGGATAGCTAGTGGGGGGAACTCTGGAAGTTATTTTTGTCCCCTGTTCAGGCTGTATTCCAGTGTTCTGCAAGATTCCAGTAGATGCTGGTGGGGGTGACCAAATCAGCCATTTGTTTATAAACAGTGGAAATGGGTTGACGTTGACTCCTCCTTAGGCTAAATTTGACTGTTCACCAGTCAGCAGCAGTAACATTTTTTTTCTGCTGCCGTCATGAATTTTGGTGGTGCATTGGAGGCTGTGGGCAGGTTCCAGGCCATCGGTTGTGCGCCTCTGCAATATGGTCTAGACCAGCCTGGCTGGGAACTGTAGTCCCAACACATCTGGAGGGCGTCAGGTTGGGGGCTGCTGTTCTATCTTTACCTGGAACTTACAGGTGCCTTTTAAGTTGCCTCTTCTACTTTGGGAAGACTGATGGGGAAACGCACAAGCCTCTTCAGGGGACTTTGTTTACATGCTCAGCCTGGCTGTGACGGACTGTCTCTCCTGCTCCTCCACCCCAGCGTGGCCAGGACCCTCCAGAAACATCAGCAGCTGCTGAGCCTTCTAGAGAGCCTGGACAACGGGAAGCTCCTCCGGGAAGCCCGTAACACAGAGCTGCCTCTGGTCATCCGGCATTTCTACCATCATGCAGGCTGGGCCCAGCTGATGGAGGTGGAGATGAAGGGCTGGAAGCCCCTTGGTGAGTGCCTGGGCAGCAGTCGCAGTTTGAAAGCTGGAGCCACGGTCTTTCCGCATAAGGTTGAGCCCCCCAGGGGTGAGGAGGACGCTGCAGCATCAATGCAGGCAAGGGGTGTCTTGCCCTAGTGACAGCCAAGCAACTCGGAACTTAAGGACTAGTTACTTGTATAGTGTGTCTTATCTGCTGTGCATTGCGGGGTGGTGATGCATCTGCCTCTGTCAGAGCGCCTTGTATGGGGGCATGCCCCAGCGATTCTTCCCAGTGGTTCTTGCGGGGGGAACAGGCTGTGTTCCTACTGCTGTGATCCTGCCACATGTCGACTCTAGGGATTGAAGCTTTCCAGAAAGTGGGATGGCTTTACTTTTGCTTTTGGGGTTTTGCCTTTTATGTGCAATAGCACACCATAAAGTTGAGGCCTGGGCCCCTCCACTTGCTTTGCTTGCAGAGAGGGCCCGAAAGAAGCCTGATGGTTTTGGAAGCAGAGACACCAGCCTCATCTCCCACACGCTCCTGCCCTGGTGTATGAGCCCTCCCTGGCTCCCTGCTAGGCCCAGACGGCTGGTCCTCTTGCCGTTGTCTGTTTAATGCTCCAGAGCTGCCTTTCCCAACCAGGCATCTAGTCCAGCACATCTGGACAGCATCTGGTTGGGGAAGGCTGCTCCAGAGCAGGGAGGAAAGACCTGCTGCTGTCTCTGTGCATTGAACTACAACTCCCATAAGACCCAGCTGTCATAGCAGGTGGTCGTGGGAGTTGCAGTCCTACCCATTTGGAATGTATCAGGCTGAGGAGGGCTGGCTTGGATCCTGACACTGCTAGGACCTGGAGGATTTCTGGTCAAGCCTGACCTTCTCTCCTGACAGGTGTTGTGGCTGCTCTCATCCCTCGGAGCTTCCCTTTGCTGACTCTGACGTGGAAGGTGTGCCCGGCGCTGGCTATGGGTATGTCAAGCTGGGGAAGCATCTCCAGTGATCCAAGCACGTAACACGGGAGCTAATGAGACATAGAAATTAGACTACCAAACTAGAGCCAGGGAGGTCCAGTTTCAAATCTCCACTTTGCCACGCAAGTATCTGGGTGGCTTTGGACCAGCCTCTTCCTCTCTCACACACACTCACAGATGTGTATGTGCACATGGAGCCTTCCTCACAAGCGTGTCTTACACAAGCAGGGACAGGCATCATCAGGCACCTGCTCTGGATATGGCCCGTGGGCAGTGTGCATCTCTGAGATCGTTGTGGCATGGTGATGGGAGCTGCAGTTGGCTCTTGAGGGCAGCCCCTTGCTCTGTATCCACATCAAGTGGTAGAGTAGAGCATAGGAACAGAGATGTCCACCGATTTCTGCCAACTCTCTTCTTTTTTTCCTCCCCCCCCACCCCCCCACCGCCTGCCTTGCCGAACAGGAAACACAGTGGTCTTAAAACCGGCCAGCTCCGCCCGGCTTACAGCTCTCCTGCTGGCCGAGGCCTGTGCCCAGGCGGGACTTCCTCCCGGGGTTCTCAACGTGGTCACAGGCGATCAGGCACTGGGCGAGGTCTTGGCTGCCCATCCAGGTGTCAACAAAGTGGCTTTTGCCGGCTCTGCTGAGGTAACTGCCCTTCTCCCTTTCGGGGGGTGAGATGAGGCTGAGGTCAGCCCCGCTATTTGGAAGAGCACCTTCAGATGTGGCGCTCTTGGCGATTCCACCTGGACCATTTGAGGTCCACTTGGAGTGGAGTCTTCGGCACGTGGGCTCCCTCTTTCTGGGCTCCCCTGACGGCTGAGAGGGAAGTCACCTTTCATTGTCTTTGAAGCTTTTCTGTTTTCAGTGCCTGCTGAAGCCATTTTTTGTTTAAACAGGTCTTCCTTGACTGCCCAGCCGTGATTTTATCCACCTAATGGGAGTCTGACTGTTTTAGCTCTGCATTTCGATTCTTTCTGTTTCCCTCTGTGGCTCACTGCTTGGGAATCCCACCAGACAGGCCTTGAGGCCTGTGTGCACTTTGTACAGCATCCAAGAAGCCTCCTAAGGGCCTGACCCGCCATTTCTCTAAGTGCTCTGTGCACATATCCCACAGTATCACAGGAGGCATTTTTGATTACTGCTTTTGTGTCTGTGTGCGCATAGACACAAGGGCAGCGTTTTCCATCCGGGCACGTGCTCTGGACTTCAGCTCTCATCAACCCCAGCCAGCATGACCAATGGCCATGAATGCTGGGAGTTGTAGTCTCAGATATCCAGAGGCCACAACCTGCGGTAGGAGAATGTGAACTGCATCTCTTCCTGTAAGCGGAGCTAACTGGGTGCTTCGGCCTCCAGGGAAGAGCCTCGGATAGCCCCGCTTCTTCCCTTGGTTGTAGGCAGAGTTTCTGCAAGCAAGCTCCAACTTCTCCCCCCCCCCCCGGACTTTCAAGGCTCCCCTCTTTTCTGGTGTAGTTCTCTGCTTTTTGGGAGCACCATCTGCATTGGGAGTCTTTTCTTTTTTGGGGGGGGGGTGTCTTCCCGCCTCCTTTATTAAGTCCGAACTTTGGCAACATACTCAGCAGCTAAGTGCCAATGAGAACTAGTCATTTTGGCCTAGAGATTTCTTACGCAGCTTGTATGTTGGGGTCGAAGGAGTGAGAGAGTGCCTCTTTCCAAATCTGGACCATCCGGATGCATGCGGAATGATGTCATCCCAACAGGTGGGCCGAAGCCTGCGCCGTGCCACGGCCGGGACTGGCAAGAAGCTCTCTCTCCAGCTGGGAGGGAAGTCACCTTTCATTGTCTTTGACTCGGCTGACCTGGATAGCGCTGTTGATGGGCTGGTGGAAGCCATGTGGCTGAATCAGGGGCAGGTATGTATGACCAGGGCTGGGTTGGATGGGAATGGGCCAGCTGAGGATTTATTAGCCAGAGGGAAGATAAGGGGAATGTTATTGTGGTGTAGCCAATTTATTTATTTTAGGATTGGTGGGGTTTTAATGTGTGTAAACCACCCAGAGAGCCCTCTGGGCTATTGGGGTGATCTATACATCCAATCAAGCAATCCATGTTGTCTCTGTCGCCCACTTTTGCAGCTCCATTTCTAGGGCAGTCTTAGCAACTGGCTACCTGTGGGCCAGGTACAGCCCCCCAATTTTATTTGGTCCCTGGGCCGTCCCTCCAAAATTTTTCTCAATATGGAGCTGCCCTTCACTGCGCACAGAGGTCTGGGACTGTGGCCAGAGATCAGAGGTGCAGGCAATGTTTCACTCATTAATGCTACTTTATCCCTGATCAGAAATAAAGTGGTGACGAGGGACAGATCCTTGCATACTCTTAAGGAAGGCAAAGGAAACCCGGCCTTACACAAGGGTGTGGTACATTTGTAGGCAAATGGGGGGTGTGCCTTTGAAACCTTGTGCACTGTGTCCAGCCCTTGGCCTCTTATTTGCTACTAGATGAATCTGGTGGAGCCAAAAATGTCATGCACTCTGATGCAGCAGAAAGTTCCTTCCTTTTTTCTTTCATGTAGAAGACTTGTTTTTAAAAGTTGGGAGGGCTGGAGGGAGATGCCACATGGCATGGGATGTGACCTGCCCCCCGCACCCCATCCGTGGGACCTGAACCCATGTGCTTGCCGTAACTCTCCAGCCCTTTCATGGCAGGTACAGCCATCTTTAATGGAGCTTCTGGCTGCTTGCTGGGAGTGGGGTAACATTTCCTGTGGAGCAAAAGGTACTTCTCATCAGGGCTGCAGTGCAATTTTAGGACATTCCTTGATCATAGGTTCTAGCTGTTTTTCATCTATTAATCTACTGCTTTTGCATTTGCAAGAAACACATTCTCCCATTAGATGCTATGCTCTTCCTACTCCAAACCATCTTTTAAAATGCCATGGTGATGTTACGGTCCCTCTAGAATTATGGCTCATTTCTCTAAGTCCTTTATGAGCCCTGGCAACCTCAGGAATCTGAGCAAAACTAATTTAGAGGTAGCGGTCCATTGTGAGGGTGGCATGACAGGGCACTGTTAATTACTGCGACACTCATAAGCATCCAAATGATGAGGCTTCTGGCCCCCCTGCTCAGGGTGGTGAGGGAGTCCCCTGTGTCCTCATGCCACACTTCTGCTAAGCAGGGTTTCTTGCCCATTTAGTAAAGTTGTTTTGGAGTGGTAGGGAAGGAAGCTGGGCAAACCCCAGAGAGCATGTATTTGGGCCTCTCCCATCCCCTCCTAGCCCACTGAAACAGCCCCCTTTTTATTATTATTATTATTATTATTATTATTATTATAACATTTCTATGCCGCCCCTTGCCGAAACCTCGGGGCGGTTTTTCCCTGACTTGAAATTGTTCCTACCCTCAGAAGGGCAGCAGCCAGTTCTTTCCATGCTGGCTACAAGCGGGAGTGGGGAAGAGTCATGTCTTCCCTGCCTCTGAGAGTGGAGCACCATCTCTGACCTCTGATCCAGTATCCAAAGTATCTGAGGGCCCTCAGTCAATGTCTAAGGGCCACAGGACTGTCCTTGTACTCGATGAACTCACTGATATATCTAGGAATAATGCTACGTAGGTTTTAATACAGTGTGGTAACATTTTTTCCTCTTTATGGTTTTGTTTTCTTGAGATTTTATACTACAACAATTTTAAGAACTTTTAATTTCTAGCCATCATTTTCCTAACCTTGAGGAATTTCTATTTCTGACATTGACATTTTCCCCTTTTTAGGCATTTGCAATACTTGTTGTCTGAAAGCAGTTAAAGCTCTCTGTAATGGGCTCTGGTTTTTTCAATGAGGCATGCAAGCCTTCCCTCCAAATATTCTCCACATGTGTCGAAATACAACTGCTGTGCTGGCTGGGAATCACGAGAATTATATTCCAACACATCTGGGGAATGCTTGGCTGGGGCAGGATGATGGTCCCCATTTGCTAGGCAATCGCTGGGCTAAACTAGGCCAGCATTGTCTTAGAAGAGGGGGGCAGGGTAGGTTCTTTTAAGATGGTGCTTGCTAGTGCAGTGTAGCAATTAAGAGTGATGGATTGAGGCTCAGGAGATCCGGGTTCCAGTCCCTGCTCAGCCACAAAGCTCACTGGGTGATTTTGAGTTAGCTGCTGACACTTAACCTCACGTACCCCAGAGGGTTGATGTGAGGATAGAATAGAGCGGAGGAGAACCTTGTCAGCTATTTTCATTTTTTGCAAGAAGAAGAAAGGCAGGATATAAATGTAATAATATGATGTGTTATATATACTATAAATATTTTATGTGCTTCTGCAGACTTACATCTGCTGCCTGGTAAACTGGGACATTTATTTAATCAATTAGGAAATTTTAAATTGATGAATCATATATGATGAAGAGATTTAAACATAGCACCCAGACTTTGCGCTCTAGTATTTATTTTCTTGAAGCATTTTCACCCAGCTGTTGGGTTGAAAGGCTCCCGAGACAGTGTACAAAAGCTTCGGTGGTGTGTCAGGTCTAAGTGATTTGACACACGAGGAGTAAAGGGGATGGGGAGGACAGAGAAAGGGAAATGCAAGTCTGAGCACCAGCCCTGAAGAGTCAGTTTTTCTGACTTGCAACAGCTGGCACAGGAGCAGTGCCAGGCAGCCTGGTGGATTGGCTGTGGCTGAGGCCCCGGGAGGCTGATTTGGTTGCATGTTCCTCTCCCCTTCCTCCTCTGCAGTTGTGGATTTTGACCCCGAGACTGCTGCCCACCGCCCCCCCCACCAAACCTGGGCCTGGGCCATTCTGCTTCCACAGAGCAATTGCAGTGTGTGTGCGTGCTTCCTTTTGTTGCTCAGGTCCTCAGCGCTGGGACTCAGCTGCTCCTGCAGGAATCCATTGCCAAGGACTTCACTCAGCGCCTGAAGCGGCGGATGGGGCAGCTCCGTGTGGGAGGCTTTTTGGACAAGGCAACAGACGTGGGCGCCCTGGCTGACGAGAAGCAGCGGGATGTAATTGAGGGCCTCGTGGAGGAAGCTCGGGCCGAAGGTGCTGAGGTAGGAAGGGGTGGTCTGCTGGGCCCTAGGGTGGGGATGCAGACCCTTGGGGCCTTTGCCTGGGGGCAAAGCCAGCCCAACGGGGCTCCCAGAGTTCCTCTGACTGCCCCATGCCCTGTCTCCTGGTCCCCCATCATTTTGTGGTTTCCCAGCTTTTGTGCAGTTCTTTTCCCCACTGAGGTGCTTCTTCAACAGTTTAGTTACTGGGAGGAAGAGCTTCAGGCAAAAATAGACATTTTTGGCTCCATCCACCACTGGAATGTGCTCTTATGCTCCCCAAGAGCATCTCCAAAAAGGAATTTGGCCTTCGGGCAGAAAGAGGTTCAGCACCTGCTTCTCAGGCTTTCTGGAGTGAACCAACAGAAACCTCTCTCAGATCATAATCGGCAGTACAAACAATCGTCGGGCAGTTTTACCATTGGCTAAAGTGAGGCAGCTGCCCCAGGAAAGAGATTCTGAAGGACAGAAAAGGGCAGGAAATTTTAAGCTATTTTATTTATTACAAGTGGGGATCAATTGTTATAAATTATGACTCTCCAAGGAAGTGGGACAAGCCCATGTGCCTCTGGTGGCAAAGTAACACGACTCGTCCAAGGTACTATCCTTGTGGCAGGGAGGCGGCGTTTGCTGTTCCCCCTCAGGGGGCAAAGTGTCTTGCCCTACAAACATAATCAGAGGAGCATGTATATAAGAGGAGGGGGTGGAGACTCCCTAACCGCAGCCCAGTCTCAAAGAATCCAAGCTTTTTTCATATACAAATGCTAATGAGAGCTTTCCACATAGAGGTCCCCTGTTAGCAAATTCCATAACCAGTGTGCCACAACCAAGAAGGCCTGCCTAACCATCTGCTACAAGTTTGGCGGTGGGTGGTGCACAGAGCAAGACCTCCACTGAAGCCCTGAGCAGGTGGGCAGGACTGTGTGACGTGCTGATCCCTTCGGTAGTAGGGCTCAACTACTTCAGAGCCCTTAAAGGTGGCAGCCTGCCCTTTGGATGGTTTGGAAGCAAATATGGAGCCGCTCGGGCTCAAAGCGGTGACACTGGAGGGGTGTGTTCCAGAAAAAAGATTCTGCCTCTCAGGATTTGCAGTCTCCAAAGACTACTCAGTTGTGGCCTGTGTTGAGGCCCTGGCCACCTTCTAGCCTAGCCTGGCTGTGACCAGGCATTCAATTGCAGCAGGAACTTCTGCCTCCTCCAGGAACAGGCGCCAAGCGGCACTCTGGCCAAAGCCGCTGCCTGCCCATCCAGCCCAGGAGCCCTTCCAAGCCACAGATCTGCTCTGGAAGAGGAGTGCCGTCCTATCCCAAACTGGCTGTAGGCCTAACCCTGGCTCAGCTTTCCCACTGGCCCAAAGCACTCCTATCTTGTTAGCCTTTATCCAGTTTGTCCCAGTGACTCTGCACTTTGGCCAGTGCTGCGGATCCTTTTAGACAGCTTTTAAATGCTGCTGTCTTTCAAGGGTGTTGGATTGCCACTCCCATCATTCCCAGGTAGCAGGATTTCTGGGAGATGTAGTCCAAAACATCTGGATGGCACCAGGTTGGGGAGCGCCCATGTCCCTTCCCATCCCCCTTGCAAAGCTGCCTTCTCTGGGAACAGGATTATGATAGACCAACTTAGGCTATAGGTTTATGTGTCACTTTAGAACAATCTTCTGTTCTGTTTTGGCCTCCAGCTCCCAGAATTCCTCACCACTGGCTCTGCTAGCTAAAGCTGATGGGAGTTGTAGGCCCAAACATGTGGAGGGCCATGGGGGGCTCACTTTGCTTTAGAATATACAGCTTGGGAAGCAGGACTTTGGGGTTTCCTGGCCAGAAATGGAATCTGAGTGGGCCAGAGAAGAGGATGTTAGAAACTCTGCTTTCATTCTTGATTAGAAGAAGGCTTTTCTGTTCCTTTAGCGTATCATTTAGCGTCAGTTGACCTTAAGACACTCTTTCCCCAGCAAAAAATTTCAGAGAGCATTTGGCGTGAGTTGCTCATGAGGTCTTATTTCATTTTATTTGGAACACCCTGGCTTTGAAAACAGCTGTTTGTTTTCTTCTATTGTGTTATTGTCATGTGCTGCCTTGCTTTGGATGGGAAGATGGGATTTAAATGTTTTTCTCTTTCCTTTAGGTTTTCCAGGCCTGGGCATCCCTCCCATCAGCTGGGCTCTTCTACCCTCCAACCTTAATCACTGGCGTGTACACAACGTCGCGTTGTGTCAGGGAAGAGGTAGGAGGACACAGGGACCAGACTTGGCCTAAGCACCTGGGCTTAGGGCTGGCAATGTGTGGATTGGTAATAAAGTTTCTCTACACATGTGCAGAGGGCTTCTTTGCTCCCTCCAAGTAGCCTCAGCTTGGCTACATACAGGGACAGGTGGGATGAATTTCAGGCTGGTACCGTTCCCACAGGGGCATCATAATTTTCCATACCAATCCACCTGACCAGGAATGCCATCCACAGCCAGAGAGAAGGGAAGGGGGCCTTCTTGTGGCAGAAATCAGAATTGCCACACAAACCCTATTTTGTAAAAGCAAAAGAAGCCGGCTGGCCAAGTCAGGGTGGGAGATGCACGCAAATTATACTGTCGCAGAGAAGGAGGTTTCAGCTTCTCCAGAAATGAAATGACAAAGTCTTCCATTTTTGGTTGCAGCCTTAAGGTGGAATTGAGGAAGAGGGAGCAGATTTTAAGGCATGACATAGCTTTCTCTAACCTGGTGCCCTGTAGATGTTTTGGACTACAACTCCCATCTTCCAACTACCCATCCGGTGGGCAGCAGGTTGGGGAAGCCTGGACTACTATGACAGAATGGAGATCTAAACACCCACAGTTATTTTGTTCTGCATCTACCTCAAATCAGACCACAAGTGGTCCCTGGGAGGCAAAAGGCAGAAGCCAGGAGAAAGCGCACAAGCTAAAATTCAATCCTCCGCATTAGGGATGGAGTCAGCGGAAGCCAAACTGAGGGGTGTTACTTTGTAATTCAGTGTGGGAGGCAGAAGCAGATTTACATGACTTGAGAGAGTTGCCAGAACACGGTTGGCTCAAACCCAGACAAGGATTCTGATTCTATTCATTCAAGTAAAAATATAACTGTGAATTAAATTATGGCCAAAGTCTTACTCACATCATTCTCCCTAAGGAAAAACAGAATACATATAGGGCTACAAGGCAAAGACTATCTTACCTTCTAGCTTTTGTATTTTTGAACCTTTGGAATACACTGTCATCTTGCTTCCATTCCCCCTCCCCCCAAAATCCAGAGGACTAGAAGCTTGCTTGGATCTCTTTATTTTGAAATTAAATAACCCTCTCAGGATGCCATTTTTTGTTGCTGGAAGGTTTGGCATATCCTTCTTGGAGGAAAACCAGAGGGAATTCTAGAAACTCCACTCTTTGTCTGCCTCTCTTATTCAGAATGGGCTTAATATGTTATGTTCCAGATCTTTGGACCTGTTCTGGTATCCTTGACTTTCCGGACAGCAAAAGAGGCAGTGGCTTTGGGGAACAGCACCCCCTATGGGTCAGTTGCCAGCGTGTGGACAGAGACCCTTTCCCTGGCTCTGGAAGTTGCCCGCAGGTAGTTCATTTTTTCCCGCTATGCCTCTTTCGTGGCCAGCTGCAAAGTTTGCAGATCACCCCAGAGATTCACACTCAGGGCTGGTCCATGCGTGCAACCGATTGAGGGAGTAGAGCCCTGAAGTGGGAGAGCGGATTGAACCACCTCAGATTTGCGGGGGGGGGGGGCGGATTTGGAAAGTGCCCCTGCTTTGCTTTGCTTTTCTTTAGTTTTTTAAAAGAACACCTTCCTGCAGGTTTTAATAAAACAGCTAGCAGGGCGAACGATGCCAGCCCCTCCTGTTCCTTGCTGGAGTAGCTCCTTTCTTTTTATTTGCAGGGCCTGCTTTGTATAGGGGAACCCTTCCTAAATTGTATGGTATTGTATCTTTATATTTTATGGTGTTTGTATTTGCCTTGTTGTGCTGATCATGGTATATGCTGATCTGGATTGTTCCTGCTGTTTTACTTAGGATCCCTGTATCTGCCTGAGTGGGTTGCTCTGAGCTTGCTTTTTGCAGTGGGAAGCAACCTATAAGCTTGGCCATTCTTGCTGCATCCTTGCTCAGCCCCTGCAGTCTGAAGTGGCAGGGGTCAGCCTCTCTTGTCACCCCACCTCTGTCTTGTTCTGCTGGGTGCGTCCGGCCTGGCCTTGCATTGCCCACACAGAATGCATGGGGCACTTGTCCAAAATGGCCACAGGACACGAGCACCGGAGTTGTCCGAGCGCCTGCAGGGGGTGCCAAGATCTGTGGTGCAATGCCTCTGGAAGGCACCCCTTGAGGAAGGCTCCCGTAGGGACCATACGCTATTCTGCAGGACAGAACGTCTCTCCTACCCTTGCTCCAGGGCTCGCTACGTAGAATTCAGCCTGCTGCGGAGAACAGAATCATCCAGATGTTTGTACAGTGCTGCTGCCCTTCCTTCTCGTCTGACACCGTCTCTCCCCGCATCCCATTCTGTCCCAGTTTGCAGGTTGGCACCGTCTGGATCAATGGCCACAACATGCTGGATGCTGCCTCTGCCTTCGGGGGGGTACAAAGAAAGCGGCTACAGCCGGGATGGAGGCAAAGAGGTTGGTGGGAGCCGGCAGGGAGGCCTCAGCCCAGTTTGTGGCTGGGCAGAAGAGAGGAAGGTACACCAAGCGAAACAACGGATGTGATGTGTGGCCTCTTTTAACTCCCAGGGCCTTTATGAGTATGTGCGACCAAGCTGGGAGCTCCGGCCATGCCCTGGTATCATCGACCTGAACTACAAAACCTTTGCTACCTCACAGGGGGCTGAGCTTCCGGTTCTTGCAGAAAACAGTGCCCCACGCATCACAGTGTCTGACCCAGAAGGAAGCGTCCCAAGGTAGGGGCATGGCTCAACATACCAGATCTCCCCCTCCTGCCCCATAGCAGTGCTAACACTTTATCTGGGCAATTTTTCAAAAGGAGGATCGACTTTGGAAAAGCTGTGCAACGCTGCCTCAGAGGGGTTTCCCATAATTTCTTGCCAAGCCCTCTCCATCTTCTTGTCTTGTCTTGGCCATTGACACAACAGGTGGGCATTCCCAGCCTGGAGCCTCTGGAGGTGTTGGACTACAGCCTCCATAATCCCTAGCTTGTTGGAATTGATGGGAAGTGTGGTCCAGCACAATTGGAGAGGGCCCTCTAAGACAGATAAATTTGAGAAGAATAGAAATGCCCCTTTCTGTGCATAATTTTCTGGATTAAATGTTAAGGCTTAGTGTGGGGTGCATTCTAGGGCTGAGCCAGAAATTCACAGGAATAAGATTTCATAGCAAAATGTACCTTTCCAGGAAAAATGAAGTTTTTTCTGCAAAGCTGCACTTCCTGGGAGGGCCAGGAAGGGAGTTTGAAAAAGGAAGTACTACTAAGAAATGGTTACTTGCCCAAGGGTCACATAGTAAGTTTCATGACTGAGCCAGAATTTGAGCTCAGGTCTCCCCAATCGAAGTCCAACACACGGGCCTTTAGACCACCCTGGCGCTCCTATGCCAAGCAATGACTGGCTCTGTTTAGCTGCTGCAAAGTGGTTTCCTGGCTGGATTGTGTGGCTTTTGGGTGGAAGGAAATAATAGTTTCCATACCATTTTTTTTGCCAAGTATAAATACTAAGTGGAAGAACGGTTGATCAGCCCCACATGTTTCACATGCCGGCCAAGGTGGAGGTCTGTTGCAGTCTTCTGACGGGGCTAGAACTACAGTTCTCAGAGTTCTTTCTGAAACTGACTTGACGACTACAGTGTGATGAAAGAGCTGAGCCTTCCCCAGTTTGATGCCTTCCAGATTTGCTGGACAATAGCTCCCACTGTATATGGGAGCGGATCAGGGAAGGCTGAGCTAGAGGTAAGAGAATACACGTATTTATCCTCTCTCTTCCCTCTGGCAGTGTGGACAGAACCTACAAGCTGTACTATGGTGGTGTCCAGAAACGGCCGGATTCCATGAGTTCCCGCGCTGTCCTTGACCACACCGGCAGAATCGTGGCGCACGTGGCAAATGGGAGCATCAAGGACATCCGGAACGCTGTGGAAGCTGCTCAGAAGGCAGCCCCGGGGTGAGTCTGGATACTGGCAGGGAGAAGGTGGGCAGGTGAGTTCTGATGCAACTAAGCCCGAGGACAGACATTTTAACCTTTTAAAATGGGTTAAAGATGGTGCAAGAGATAGGAAACTACCGAACTTTGGTGATTGGGATGAAAGGGACCTCTAGGCTACACCTCTAATCCAGTTCTTTTCCTGCAATTCGGAGTTCTACACCTGCAGAATGTTTGAAGTGATGGGGAATAATGTGATCTAGGATTGGTATGATCCCCCAGGAAATGAACACTGAGGTTGCTGCGGTCCCAGAGGCAGTTCCTGCATACTTGCACTTCCACTCTAATACAACTTTGCATTTGTTTTGGAATTATTGTCAAATGCATCTCGTTTTAAAAAGCTGATGATTGAAGCCAATGTATTGATTTTTAAAATTTTTTTATTTACACTTTAAACAAATACAAAACTCATGTAATAAAGAAAAAAGCTCTCAATATACAAAATCAAGGTTTTTTTAAAAATAGAAATCATCCTTAGTGTACCCCTCCACTGGGACACCATGCCTGTCTAATATTATTTCTTTTTTTTTCATTTTCTACTCTTTTTGAGATGCCCTCCTTCCAACCAAAATTGCAATACATCCCCTTTTGTTAATGCATATTCAATAAACATACCCTATATATTATTACAATCATGCTTCTTTACCAATCCTTTTTTCACCCTTGTTAACTTGTCATTAACTGCTATATTCCAAACTTCTTTATGCTATTCAATTAATTGGAGATCTCTTTTCTCCTTCCAATTCTTTGCTATTACCAATTTTTCTGTAGATACCAAATTTATTAATAATTCTTTGATATTCCATTTTTTCACTAAAAATTAGCAATGCTATTTCAGGATCTGCTTCAACTTTTAGATTCAGTATCTTACTACTCTCCTTAAAAATCACCCAGAATCTTTTGATGTTTTCACATTCCCACCCCATGTGGACAAATTATGGATACTGGTTTCCATATTTCCAACAGAAATTAGAATTTTTCTTATCCATATAAAATAATTTAACCAGAGCCATATACCATTTCTATAGTATTTTTTTAAAAAAATCCTTAATTCTAATTGACGTACTTTTTAATATTCTTTTATTCTATATTTTTCCCCACCATCCTTGTCTATATCCTTCCCTAAATCCATTTCCCATGAAATTTAAGAGATCATATATATATTCCCTGTCTAATAAAATCTTATCTCCCTTATGATCCCCAATGTATTTACTTATTAAAAGAATTCCTAGTCTATTTTTCAGATTTACAAAAATATTTCCAACGTTATTCTTAAAATAAAAATGTAAAAAATATAATCAGTTAGGAGAACATCCAGGCAAGCAAATACGTCTTAAGATTTTATAGGACTTAGAAGTGTAAATTTAACAGCTCCAAATCCAGCAGTGACCAAAGAGTTAAACAGATTAAGAATTGGTCAACCTGTTGTCCAGGTTTGCCCAGCTTCCTCACCATGGGACAGAAACTGAGTGACTTCATCACTGTAATGTCCCATCAAGTCATCTCCAACTTCTGGCAACCCTTTGAATGAAGGCCCCCAAATTGCCCTGTGCTCCTCAGCTTAGCTCTTGTGAAGTCCTGGCTTGTGGATTCTTTTTATGAAATTATGTGACTAAAATGCATTGCGCTAGGAAAAATGGCTTTGAAAATCCGTGTGCCTATTAGGCAAAAACACAAACAAAAAAGTACATGCTAGGAGAAATCTGCATGAAAACGCTTATAAATGTTAATGTGGTCTTTGCAATTAAAAATTTTAAATGGTCACTGCTTGGGGCAAACAGAACTTGAGAATGAAGAAACTGAGGCCAATCTGGTGCCATCACCATCTCTTTTTCAGGGTAAGACTGTTCTGCTTCCAGATATTTAATGGCGTGCGAATGGCAATTTCAGCTGTTTTCACAGGTTTACTGAAATTGTAGCTTTTTACAATGTTTTCAATTTTGCATTCTGGAATTTTACATTAACTTGTATTTGTGCATTATATTGCCATCCATTTTACTAGAGTATCTGTGTTTGTTGAATTGTTATGAATGGGCCAGAGTGCTTTGGCAATTGGGTGGTATAGAAATTTAAAAAATAATAGTCAATGATACAGTATTGAAAACTGCAGAATTTTAAAAAAAGAGACAATCACCCATTTAGAATCAGATTTTGTCTGAAAAATAACAAGGAGGGTGCCCAGTGATTATCAGCAGGAGTTTATTCCTGGCACAAGAGGTGAAGGACAAGATGCCACAAAAGATGACTTGGACTAGCAAATGAATCATTCTTCAGCACTGATGATGGGACAGTATTTTCTGCTGCGCCCGAAGGCAGTAGGCTTGTGTAAGGGGGCCTGGGACATGGTTCTGTCCTCTGCTGTCTTGCTGCTGCCTCCCACCATTTGTTGAATGGCAGGGCTGGCCTTAGATGTTCTTTAGTCGTCTGCTGCCACCACAGAGAAGGCCCCGTCTCTCATGTGCACTCACTTGGCAACTCTTAGTGCTGGCACAGAGAGGAGGTGCTCTGTGTTGACTCTGGAAGGCTGGGCAGGTGGATCTGGAAGCCGCTCCTCTGTGCCTGTCTTCCCCCCGACCACCCCCGTGAAAGAGGAGGGGCGGGTTTGGTTCTCTCTACCAGGCCATGCTGTGCATTATCTCCTCCTTTTATGAGCATTTGTCGTGACCCAGCCAACTGGAGCTATATCAGGCGAAGACCTTTTTATTTAAGCGGCATTTTAATTGTTAATATTATTGGATTTTATCTGGCCAGGGCGGCTTATTTTATATTGGTAATTTTGCATTTTTAACTTAATGTTTGTATTTTTTTAATTTAATGTTATAAATATTTTTTAACTTAACGTTGTAAGCCGCTTCGAGGCTTCAGCGAATGGGGCGGCATAAAAATGTTTTAATAAATAAATAAATAAAATATCATTTAGAAATGAATTCGTGACAAGGACCAGAGCCACAGCTGGAGAACCAAGTGCTTTACCATATAGAAACATAGAAACAGAGCGAGTCAGAAGGGGCCTCCCGGGCCATCCAGTCTGACCTCCGGCACCAGCCGGCTCCGCTCACGACATGCCCACCATCTGGACGTCCAGCCTATCCTTGAACACCCACACCGATGGGGCCTCAGCGACCTCTCGCGGAAGCCCACTCCACCCCCTTGGGGTCCTAACTCAGGAAATGCTTCCTGGCATCCAAACGGAACCTTGGCTCCCTGAGCTTTGCTCCGGTGCTACAGTTCTGTTAAAATACTGACCTCATTAGTGGGTTGATGCAACTCGTCCCAGTGGGGAAGACTACAGACTGGTTTGTTTGGTCTGCAGCCCAGGTGTTGCTTGGCAGCCCTTCAAGTAAGGACTGCCCTCTGCACAACAGACGAGCTGGCCACTCTGCCAACACATCATATCGCAAAGAGCTTTGTGGGAAGCCATTCCTACTGTGCGGGGAAGGGCCAGGTGAGAACAGCTCTATTGTTACACTCTGATGCATACATGTGCATACAAGTTTATGTAAACACGGAGTTCTATGAACTTTAAAGAAAGTTCAGGGGGTTCCTGGTGACAGATCTCCTTCATTTTTTCAAATTCTGCCAGGATGGCAAACAGAGAGCGAGATGTTGTATTGGCTTGTTAGACATCAACCAGCCGCAACCCTGGCAGTTCGTGCTGTTTGACCCAGATGCTTATAGCAGGAGGATGGTCAACGTAGTCATGCTGGCTGGAGATTGATTGATTGATTGATTATATTTATATCCTGCCTTCTTTTCTTCCAAGGAACTCAAAGTGGCATACATAATTCTCCTCTTGCTCTCACACACATCCTCACAACAACAACCCTGTGAAGTAGGTTGGGCTGAAAGTCTGAATGGTCACCCAGTGAGTTCTGTGGGTACTAGAACCCCACTGAGTCCCAGTGCTCTTAACCTCTATACCACACTGGTTTCCTGGGATGATAGGAGCTATAGTCTCACTCATTCTCTTTTACAGAAAATTGGAGCGAGAGGTCACCTGGCAATTAAAAAAAAAAAAAAAAGGGATCATTGGGAAGTAACTAGCTTATAGGGTACGTTGCTAAAAGGTGCAGAACTGGTCCTTGGTTTAAATGGCTGAAAGTAGTCTTTCCCAACCATGGGGACCCCAGGTGTTGTTTTTTATTGTTATTTTGTTATGTTACTTTGCTTTTTTCCCTCTTCTAAGGAATGCAAAGCATTTTACATGGCTCCTCCTCCTCTCCGTGTTAGCCTCACAACAACCCTGTGAGGTAGGTTGGGCTGAAACTTAGTGACTGGCTCAAAGGCACCCAGTTTGCTTCATGGCCAAGTGGGAACTGGAACCCAGAGCTCCAGAGTCCCAATCCAACACTCTAACCACTATGCAACACTACTCCAACTCCCAGCATCCCCCAGCCAGCATGGCTAAAAGTTGGAAACAATGAAAATTGTTGTCCAACAATGCTTGAGACTTTCAAGTTTGGGAAAGTTTACATTGGAAACTTTTTTGAGGACAAGTCTACATAGAACTAGTAGGCATGCTAGTGAACGAACCTCCATGTTCAGGGCTGTGTACCTTGCAGGATCTTGTCCTGGGTGCAAACAGAGTGAGAACAGACCATTGGAAGAGATCAGCCATCCCCAGCTGGTGCCTGCAGATGGTGTGGGCTGCAGTCTTCCCTGTACGGCTGCCCGGGGACAAGGCTGGCTGGGACTAAAATGCAAAACATCTGGAAGACATCAGGTTGGGGAAGGCTGGGCTAGCTGAGCAGCTTTTGTGAATCATTCTTCGTAGGAAATCAGCTCCTTAAAAACGGAGCAAAGGCAAGAAGACATGATTAAAAGCACAGCTGCCTGCCATGGGCGAGAATGGAAGGAGTTGTAGGTGAAGGCATCTGGATGCTGCCAGGTCGGAGAGGTCTGCTGCAGCTGACAAGCCTGCCTGTCCCCTCGAAGGAACAAGACCTCCCTGCAAAACAGGAAGACAAGGGCTTCTAAACTGTAACCAGAACTCTGTGCCAGGAAAGATCGCTTGATGCTCTGCCAGGAGCCTGCTGCATCAACAAAGAAAACAAATGTTTTCTCAGATTTACGACTATAACATTCATTGGTAGGGCATGGCTTGAGTAGCCTCATTTCGGACTTCCTGCATGCTTGTAAACAGGCAACTGGGTGTTCCCATTTCAGTAGGGACCCTGGAGGCAAACACATTAGTTGTGAGCCTCTGACAAGGAAGCCTGCGTGCGAAAAGAGGTTGTTAATAGCAGAGATGGGAGCTATAAGGGCAGCCAAGGATGAGAACTCATTTGTTGTGGTCAACTTAATGGCACTTGTCTTGGAATGTGCCATAATTTGATGAACAAGGCTCCCTCTCCTCCGCTTCAGCGGTGCCTCCAACTTGCTCTTTGTCATGCCATATCGACAACCCACCAGCTGAACTTGTGCCTTTGAACTCTGTACTTCTTCCTGCAAGTACACTTCCGATGGACTTAGCATCTTCCCAAATATATTGGGGCATGTGGAAGAGGACTGCAGACAAGATGGGGATTGTGCAAGCTGAGGTGGCAAGATATCTTTGGGCCTTTCCTTGGACCTTGACTGGTCCCCTTCTCAGATGTGGGAGCAGCTAGCGAGACTTGGAGGCAGAGGAAGGGAGGGTCGGGGTTCCCCTCTGGTGTTCTTTAGGGAGGGTTCGGTTTTAGAACGCTAGAGGGCAAACGCAGGCACCAGTTCTCCAGGTTATAGCTCCTTTAAGGACCAGATGGCATGGCTTCTGCTGGGTGGCAGGGGAGGGAGGTGAGGGGGCAGAGGCAGTTCTTGGCAGAGGCGGTGGATCAGCCCGGCTTTCCCTCTTTGCCACTGGCAAGTTGCATCACTTTGCAGTAACAAAGCACTGGACCTCTTCTGCATTTTGTTGGTTTTTCAGCCCAGTTTGGAAAGTCCCTTAGGTTGCTCAGAGGAGGTAGTAAACCAGGAAACAGACATAAAGTGGTCCTGCTGGCCCTAAGAGAAATGACAGAAATCTGTATTAGAGCAATAACATTATGCAGCCCACCAGAGTGTCACTAATTAGCGTGCAAGCTTTTGAATTCTGCAGAAGGTTAAACTGTAAACAAAACTGGTGTGAGGAAGAGAAAAACCTTGACTGATCTTGATCGAAGCCATAGAGTCTGCACTAAGTGACAGTCTAAACCGGTATCTTGTATCCCCGAGGAAGGTTTTCACCAGGTGGGCAATTAACTGCTGTGTTAAAATGTCAAGTTCATCAATTTCCCAGTACAATTTTGAGGATTTCTGCTTTCTTGGCTTTCTTGGGCATCTGGTTGCCACTGTGGGAGATGGGAGACTAAGATTCTAGTCTGATCTAGCAGCACTCTTCCTGTCCTCCCAGGAAGGTGAGTGAGGCCTTCTGGGGTCTCAGAAAAACCATTGCCGGTAGAATTGTCGGAACCGGGACCCTGGTTTCCTCCTCCTGATCTGACACCCCGTTGTTCTTACCAGATGGGCAAAGCAGGCAGCTCATGCTCGGGCACAGATCTTGTACTACCTTGCTGAGAATTTGGAACTCCGTCGAGCTGAAATGGCATCGCAGTTAGAGGCACTGACTGGCGCAAAGAAAGACGCAGCTCTGCAGGAGGTGGACCTCAGTGTGCAACGGCTCTTCTATTGGGCAGCCTATTCTGATAAATTCGGGGGGACTGTGCAGGTGAGAACCAGCAGGGACATGCGCTGGGGGGTACGCAGCAAGGAGCCTCTCTCCTCTGTCGCTTTTCTTGAGTCTGGGTGCAGGCTTGGGAAGGTCTGAAGAAGGGCTCAAGCGAATTCGCTGCCTGCAAAGTATTCCTGGCACCATCCAGGGCTGGAGGAATCTTTTCTAGTCCGATGGATGAACCTTTCCCAGTCTGAGAAAGGTTTCATCCGTTTGTGAGATGGCCAGAGGCAGGCAGGCACAGCGAAATGTTGGATGCTGACATTTTGAGCCTACTCAGAAATACTGTTATACACTTACACACCACCTTTCCTCTTCTTACAAGGAACCCAGGGTGGCTTGCAAGGCTTGCCCTGCCTCTATTTATCCTCACAACAACCTTGTGAGGTAGGCTAGGCAGACGGTCCTTGACTGGCCTAAAGTTGCCCAGTGAGCTTCATGGCTGAGTGGGGACTAGAATGTGGATTTCCTGAGTCCCCGTGCAGAACAATAACTATTGCGCTAGACTGGCTTTTTGGATGAATTAAGCAGGATAAGCGTCTGCATATCTACTGTCTGTTTTCATTGTCTGTTTTCAGCTTTTCTAAACTGTTTGATGTGTGTTTTTCTGATTTTCTGAAATTTTTATCATATTGCATCTGTATTTTTGTATATTGTACAAAATATTACCATCCATTGTATATTGTACAAAATATTATCATCCATTTTTATTTACTGCTATAAGCCACCCTGAGAGCTTTAGCTGTGGGGTAGCATACCAATGAAATAATAATAATTATTTTTAACAATAATATCAGAAGTGAGTAGACCTGAATCACTTAGTTAACACCTTCAAAATAGAAACATAGAAACAGAGTGAGTCAGAAGGGGTCTCCTGGGCCATCTAGTCTGACTCCTGGTTCTAGCCAGCTCTGCTCACGACATGCCCACCATGCGCATGTCCAGTAGCATTCGAAATGCCAAGCCTCTGCATGCCTGTTCAGAATGAATAGGAGGTGGCGTGCAGGCCCCACTCCCGGGCAAGGGGGCATCCTTCTTCTTCTGGAAAACCTCAGAAGCATGGAATCACTGAGCGGCTTCTTAGCCAGGCCTGGTCCCCGTCTCCCTGGCAGGGCAAAGCTATTCCCCACCTCCCTCCTCTGGCAAGGAATGCCAGGCAGCTTGGGGGGGGTCCTCCTCCTCTGTCTTATTCTCACAACAATCCTCTGAGGTAGGAAAGGCAGAGCGTCTGTGACTGGCTGGAAGTCGCCCCGTGAGCTTCATAGCCAAGTGGGGACTAGAACCCACATCTCCTGAGTCCCAGCCCCACTCCCGACTCACGTTGGTGCCAACGCCCGGCCTCCCCCAGCCAGCATGGCCGGTGGCGGGAGGCCGCTCTTGTCCCCTCTGCACCTGGGCGATGCAGGCCAGACGGTGGCTCCGTCGCAGCTCTTCCGTTCCAGCGATGGCTTTGAGAAACCCAGCTAATCCGAGGAGAGATTTTGCCACACTCTTCCTGGACCCTGCGGCTTGGTCTCTCGATTCTCATTAGCATGGCCAACGGGAAGTCAGCTGTCGCGGGTTGGGGGCTTGCTTTGGGAAGGGAGGGAGGCACAGATCAGGGAGCTGGTGAGGCTCTGGCGGTTTTGCATGGGACCTGAGCCCTCTGTGTGGGAGGCCCCCCTCTCGCCCATCATTTGTGCTACCCCAGGCATTGCTCGATCCCACCTTCTACTTGTGTGTGCTTCTCTCCCTCTGCTGCAGGAAACTTCCTTGTATGGCGCCTCCCTCCTGTTTCGAGAACCTCTTGGGGTAGTGGGCATTGCCTGTCCCGACGAGCAGCCCCTTCTCGGCTTTGTCAGCTTGTTGGCGCCTGCCGTCGTCCGTGGCAACTGTGTGGTGATGGTCCCCAGCGAGCGGTACCCGTTACTTGCTCTGAACTTCTACCAGGTACCATCCTTTCTTCCTTTCTGGGCTAACTTGTGGGTCAAGGAGTGTGTGTGTCCGCCCATCCAAGGGCTGTGCGGTTCTATTTCCTCCCCTCCTCATATAAGAGGCTGTTCAGTTTTATTGGATATATTGACATATTAATCTCCCAAAATGCATGAGTCAGACAAAACTGGCAGCATTAAATGTCAGCATGAAGTATTGTTTCCATGCACACTCCTGTTTCTTCCCCAGCTGGCACTCACTTGCTCTTCAATCCACCCACAGATGGGCAAGTTTTAGATAAGAGAGGCCACTGAAATTATTTCCTCCTCGACCCAGTGCCTCATTAAGTTCTCCCAAGTGCAACACTCAAGTTCTTCTCCCACTTGGATTTTAATCTGAGCCAGAGAAAAACTCTGCTGTTCCCCTCTCCACTCACTTGACTCCAACTTCCCTGTTCACTTGCTTCTCGCCTCCTCCCTCACCAGCTTACCAGGCTCCCACTGTCGCAGGCAGGAGGAGCCCCGGAAAGATGGCGTTTCCTGGAACCCATGTCTGCATGGGCGTCTGCAGTAGCCGCACGAGTTGCCTGGTGCTGGGGCAGGGAGGGTGTGAGAGAGGGACAGCTCTCCCAGCCTCTGCAGCCAGCAGGAGCTGAGCACCAGCAAAGCGCGAAGGCAGAGGGAGGCTTTTTAGAAGGAACTGAGCCTCAGAGCACAGGATCGAATAGTAACTTCAACGCTATGTTTGCTTCCTCTTTATCTCTTCCCATTTCTAGAAACTGGGGACATCGTGACACACATGTACCCTGGCGACTTTGATGACCCAGCAAAACTGGGGTTTCTCTTGCAATTGTAATCGTTTTATTTATTGTTAAATTATTTTCAGGCTGCCTTTTAAGGGAGAACCATCTCAAGGTAGCACCAAATTAGTCTGCGGGGGCTGAATTCTCATAAGAAGCAGCCTTGCTTCCTTCTGAGTTCCAGCTCAGCATGACAGGTTAGGCTGAAGGGATCAGGCTGTTACTGATTCCATGTGCCTTAGGAATGTGCATATGATCTTCAAACAATTTTGGCATATACTGGAGCAGGAGCGGAGGGAGGGTGCTCTGTGGCACCCATGATAAATGCACACTCTCTCACTCGAGGAAAACCAAACCCTGCACTGGCCAAGCTGCGTAACTGAAGGTGGTTGGTTACCCGCCATTGCTCTGTTGTAGCGTTGATGTGGATTTTATGATCATGCTGATCTATTTAATTTTCCCAAAGGAAGGGACCAAAGATTGGAAATGGAAGGTATTAAGGTTGGCAGAGCCATGACCTCTCAGGTCATACATGACTTACTAAAAGGACGACAATGCCTGTTGCCATCGCTCCACCAGCCAAGCTCTTAGATTCATGCTTTGAGGACGAGGAACAGAGATGGGGAGGTTGATACAAGGAACCTTTCCCTTTGTTTTCCCCAGTAGGATGAGCGTCATATGACCATACTGAGAATACTGTGTTCAGTTCTGGTCACCTTACCTTACCTATTGAGCTGGGGAAAGTGCGGGAAAGGGCAACCAAAAATGACCAGGGGGCTGGAGCAGCTCCCCTGGGACTATTTCGCTTAGAAAAAAGGCAGGTCAGGCGAGACCTGAGATAAAATAATGTATGGTGTGGTCCGAGTGGAGAGGGAGACGAAATGGAGAAGGAGACTTACGGCTGTATGACAGCAGGTGGGAATAGGACCCTGTGGGACCCTACACTACAATGTTGTAGGGTAGGGGTGTGTGAGGAATCCGTTTTGAGGGGGGAAATCCATCAGATTCCCTTGGGTTAGCCCCACGGTTTCCAGACTGCTTTCTGGCTCCCCTGAGTCCAGCTGGGCACTGAGAGTTCAGGCGGGTGCCCACCAGGAATCGAGCCTGCACAAGAAGAGCCTCTTCCACACACGTGGCTTGTGGGCTTTGTGCTGCTTGTGTTGCGCAAGAGCGTGGCTGGGTTGTGCAAGAGGAGATCCGCTTGCGATCGCAAGCAGTTGCAGACTTCCTCTCCGCTCCGCTTGCTGCCCAAGCCAGGGCTGAGCATGAGGAGGAAGGCTACAAGCAGAAGAGAGTCCGATTCCATGGGACCGTGCAGCCCACGTGCAGTGGAGCCAACACTTGCAGGGGTCCGGCACCAGGACTATTTACTGGCAAGGACACTTACATGATCTGCTGTTCCTCTCTGATTTGCAAGCTTTCTCCCCTGAGCTTACCTGCAAGCTTCTTAGTAGCTTGGGTTAATGGAAAATGAATTTTCTCAGCCCTAGAATTATAGAATCATAGAGTTGGAAGGGGCCAGGAAGGCCATCGGGTCCACCCGCCTGCTGCTGCAGGACACCAAGTTGCACATCCCACTCAGGTTTCTTTCTGAATGTCTCTGGTGTGGGAGAGCCCACCACCTCTCCGGGCAGCTGGTCCCACTGTCGCATTGACTCCTGCTGGGACTTCATCTGTCGTTTTGAGGTCAGTTAGGTAACACTGCAAGAGTGGGACTTGGTGCGTGCTGCTGGTGTGTCCCGGTGTTCTCGTTTGCCTCTGGTTGATGCCTGCAGCACCTCTGACATCATCTAAGCCATATAGCAAGGATGGGGAGCACATGGTCCTCCAGAGGTTAGTGCACTGCACCATTGGCCACCCATCTCTATTGACTCTGCTGACCGGGGCTGATGGGAGGGCCACGTCCTCCTCACCCCTGTTGTGGAGCAGGATGCCATGGACGTATGCCCATAACTGAAACACAGGTGGTTTCACTGCTTCACGTGTGTCTGTTGCGTAAAATGATGTGCCAAGTTTCCTTAAAGATCCCTCTTATTTTAAATAGCTCTAACTTTACAAAACCAGTTCACTTGCAGCTTTACTGGTTTCCCATGCCAGGCTTGAGGGATATGAAGATCAGGCTGGAATCCAGCACCCTCATGCTTGTCAGACTTCCTGCTCATGCCTGGCCCTGGCTGGGGAACCAAGTGAGCCAAGATCAAGTCCATGGATGCTCAGGATCGCTGGGGGACTCTGTGTGTAAAATATACAAAGTACATTATTCTTTGCACAAAGAGCACACAGGCTGCAAGTCTTGTGTATCGAAGCAGAAGCCCACTTGAACTCTTCCTGCCAGATGCCCACACACATTCTTGGCATGAGGCAGCCTGAGGGAAGAGAGAAATCAGGCTGGAGCACAGGGAGCCAAGCCGAGGAAATCTGAAAGGCACCCACCCCAAATTCCTAACGCATCCTTACCAGAACCACCTTATAAGGCAGCCGAATTGAACACGCGTCTGTCCAGTTAGTAGGATGCTACCACCATCTATCTAGCCCTGTATAGGGAAACCCCACAGTGGCATGTTACTTATTTGGAGTGAAGTGGCGGTTTGCTGAGATCAGTCACCACCGAGATCTGTTCTCATCTCATTTCCCCGTGGGAGCAATGCGTTAGGGCTGTAGCTGCGTGGATGTAGAGTGAAACTACTCTCTTGGCTTTGTCGGAAATTCCTGCTCAAACCTCACATCCAAATTTCAAGAAGATATGAATATAATAAGTGAAAAGCAAAAACACAGTTGGTACTTGAAAGTCACATTAAAAGCTTGTTAACCTCTTTGAGGCGAAACAGTTGGAATGCAGAGAGTTACAGCCTGCACTTTCCTTGGCGATCAGAGTGACAAAGGGGTACAGGATCCGGTTCCATTTTGTTGTGTCCGGGCGAAGGGGACTGCCCAGCAGTTTCAGCAGTCAGTGGAACGGCATGTAAACAGGAAGCGCTCAGCCTTTGGGTCTAGGAGATGGACCATTGAAGTGTGGTTTAAAGAGGTAATGACTTTAAGGACCTCTGGCAGACTGTTTTGACTTCCTGCTCAATAAACCTGGAAGATCTTGGACATCTGTGTTCTCTTCTGGGTGAGTGAGAGATGCCAGAATTTGGCTTAAGTGTGCTTTTTACTTAAAAGCTGAGAAAGTCCAGCTCCTATTTCAGAGAAACTCTTGGGAACCACAATCCAATGGAAGATGGGGCCAAAATTTAGGAAAATACCAGTCAATTGCAGCTTAACACTCTTACTGCCAGTTATTAAGCCTTTGGAAAGGCTGTCCATCTTTTGGAATGGGCAAAAAGTGATACAAAAGCCAGAGAACCACCAAATGGCAGAAGGGTGGGAGGAGGGCAGCGAAGGAAGTGGATGTTGCCATTTGGGGAACCTGGAGGGCCAGATTTGGCTCCCACCCCCTACTTCACAGAAGTAAAGACAGTGAAAGAGAGCTCCATTTATGGTCAAGCATCTGTAGCAGAGTTAAAGATATAGTGGGGGGAAAACCCGACTACCGCAGCGTCAGTTTGCATACTTCTAGAATATAGAATCATAGAATAGCAGAGTTGGAAGGGGCCGGAGGGTCATCGGGCCCAACCCACTGCTCACTGCAGGACTCCAAGTTAAACCGTCCCTCTCAGATGGCTGTCCAGTTGCATCCTGGATGCCTCTAGTGTGGGAGAGCCCAGAAGCTCCCAGGGTAATTGGTTCTACTCTAACAGTCAGGAATTTTTTCTTTTGGGATCTAGCTGGAATCTGGCTTCCTGCAACCGGAGCCACACACAATTCTGTGTCCTGCACCCTGGGATGATCAAGAAGAGGCCCTGTCCTCCCTCTTCATGACAGTCTTTCACATCCTAGCAGAATGCTATCATGTCTTTGGGCAGTCTTCTCAAGGCTAATCATGCCCAGTTCTTTCTTCTCATAGAGCTTTGTTTCCAGTCCCCAGATGAGCAGTTTGCTCTCCTCTGACCCCTTTCCAGCTTGTCTGTGTCTTTCTTCAACTGTGGCGCCAGGACTGGACACAGCACGCCAGATGAGGCCGAACCAGTGCTGAGTAAAGGGGAACTAGCACTTCATGTGATTTGGAAGTGATACTTCTATTCATGCAGCCTTAGAAATTGCAGCCTATAATAGCATTTGCCCCTTTTGCAGCCATATCACGCTGTTGACTCATATGCAGTTTGTGATCTACAACAGT